TTTAAATTTTTACATTTGAACAATTTACAATTTATTCTAGGTAACATTTTAAGACACCTATAAATTCAATCATTTTAAATTTTTACATTTGAACAGTTTACAATTTATTCTAGGTAACATTTTAAGACACCTATAAATTCAATAATTTTAAATTATTACATTTGAACAATTTACAATTTATTCTAGGTAACATTTTAAGACACCTATAAATTCACACATTTTAAATTATTACATTTGAACAATTTACAATTTATTCTAGGTAACATTTTAAGACACCCACAAATTCAATCATTTTAAATTTTTACATTTGAACAATTTACAATTTATTTTAGGTAACATTTTAAGACACCCACAAATTCAATCATTTTAAATTTTTACATTTGAACAATTTACAATTTATTCTAGGTAACATTTTAAGACACCTATAAATTCAATCATTTTAAATTTTTACATTTGAACAGTTTACAATTTATTCTAGGTAACATTTTAAGACACCTATAAATTCAATCATTTTAAATTATTACATTTGAACAATTTACAATTTATTCTAGGTAACATTTTAAGACACCTATAAATTCACGCATTTTAAATTATTACATTTGAACAATTTACAATTTATACTAGGTAACATTTTAAGACACCTATAAATTCAATCATTTTAAATTATTACATTTGAACAATTTACAATTTATTCTAGGTAACATTTTAAGACACCTATAAATTCAATCATTTTAAATTTTTACATTTGAACAGTTTACAATTTATTCTAGGTAACATTTTAAGACACCCACAAATTCAATCATTTTAAATTTTTACATTTGAACAATTTACAATTTATTCTAGGTAACATTTTAAGACACCTATAAATTCAATCATTTTAAATTTTTACATTTGAACAGTTTACAATTTATTCTAGGTAACATTTTAAGACACCTATAAATTCAATCATTTTAAATTATTACATTTGAACAATTTACAATTTATTCTAGGTAACATTTTAAGACACCTATAAATTCACACATTTTAAATTATTACATTTGAACAATTTACAATTTATTCTAGGTAACATTTTAAGACACCCACAAATTCAATCATTTTAAATTTTTACATTTGAACAATTTACAATTTATTTTAGGTAACATTTTAAGACACCTACAAATTCAATCATTTTAAATTTTTACATTTGAACAATTTACAATTTATTCTAGGTAACATTTTAAGACACCTATAAATTCAATCATTTTAAATTTTTACATTTGAACAGTTTACAATTTATTCTAGGTAACATTTTAAGACACCTATAAATTCAATCATTTTAAATTATTACATTTGAACAATTTACAATTTATTCTAGGTAACATTTTAAGACACCTATAAATTCACGCATTTTAAATTATTACATTTGAACAATTTACAATTTATACTAGGTAACATTTTAAGACACCTATAAATTCAATCATTTTAAATTATTACATTTGAACAATTTACAATTTATTCTAGGTAACATTTTAAGACACCTATAAATTCAATCATTTTAAATTTTTACATTTGAACAGTTTACAATTTATTCTAGGTAACATTTTAAGACACCTATAAATTCAATCATTTTAAATTTTTACATTTGAACAGTTTACAATTTATTCTAGGTAACATTTTAAGACACCTATAAATTCACACATTTTAAATTATTACATTTGAACAATTTACAATTTATTCTAGGTAACATTTTAAGACACCTATAAATTCAATCATTTTAAATTTTTACATTTGAACAGTTTACAATTTATTCTAGGTAACATTTTAAGACACCTATAAATTCAATCATTTTAAATTATTACATTTGAACAATTTACAATTTATTCTAGGTAACATTTTAAGACACCCACAAATTCACACATTTTAAATTATTACATTTGAACAATTTACAATTTATTCTAGGTAACATTTTAAGACACCTATAAATTCACACATTTTAAATTATTACATTTGAACAATTTACAATTTATTCTAGGTAACATTTTAAGACACCTATAAATTCACACATTTTAAATTATTACATTTGAACAATTTACAATTTATTCTAGATAACATTTTAAGACACCTATAAATTCAATCATTTTAAATTTTTACATTTGAACAGTTTACAATTTATTCTAGGTAACATTTTAAGACACCTATAAATTCAATCATTTTAAATTTTTACATTTGAACAATTTACAATTTATTCTAGGTAACATTTTAAGACACCTATAAATTCACACATTTTAAATTATTACATTTGAACAATTTACAATTTATTCTAGGTAACATTTTAAGACACCTATAAATTCACACATTTTAAATTTTTACATTTGAACAATTTACAATTTATTCTAGGTAACATTTTAAGACACCTATAAATTCAATCATTTTAAATTATTACATTTGAACAATTTACAATTTATTCTAGGTAACATTTTAAGACACCTATAAATTCACACATTTTAAATTATTACATTTGAACAATTTACAATTTATTCTAGGTAACATTTTAAGACACCTATAAATTCACACATTTTAAATTATTACATTTGAACAATTTACAATTTATTCTAGGTAACATTTTAAGACACCTATAAATTCACACATTTTAAATTATTACATTTGAACAATTTACAATTTATTCTAGGTAACATTTTAAGACACCCACAAATTCAATCATTTTAAATTTTTACATTTGAACAATTTACAATTTATTTTAGGTAACATTTTAAGACACCCACAAATTCAATCATTTTAAATTTTTACATTTGAACAATTTACAATTTATTCTAGGTAACATTTTAAGACACCTATAAATTCAATCATTTTAAATTTTTACATTTGAACAGTTTACAATTTATTCTAGGTAACATTTTAAGACACCTATAAATTCAATCATTTTAAATTTTTACATTTGAACAATTTACAATTTATTCTAGGTAACATTTTAAGACACCTATAAATTCACACATTTTAAATTATTACATTTGAACAATTTACAATTTATTCTAGGTAACATTTTAAGACACCTATAAATTCAATCATTTTAAATTTTTACATTTGAACAATTTACAATTTATTCTAGGTAACATTTTAAGACACCTATAAATTCACACATTTTAAATTATTACATTTGAACAATTTACAATTTATTCTAGGTAACATTTTAAGACACCCACAAATTCAATCATTTTAAATTTTTACATTTGAACAATTTACAATTTATTCTAGGTAACATTTTAAGACACCCACAAATTCAATCATTTTAAATTTTTACATTTGAACAATTTACAATTTATTTTAGGTAACATTTTAAGACACCCACAAATTCAATCATTTTAAATTTTTACATTTGAACAATTTACAATTTATTCTAGGTAACATTTTAAGACACCCACAAATTCAATCATTTTAAATTTTTACATTTGAACAATTTACAATTTATTCTAGGTAACATTTTAAGACACCTATAAATTCACACATTTTAAATTATTACATTTGAACAATTTACAATTTATTCTAGGTAACATTTTAAGACACCTATAAATTCAATCATTTTAAATTTTTACATTTGAACAATTTACAATTTATTCTAGGTAACATTTTAAGACACCTATAAATTCACACATTTTAAATTATTACATTTGAACAATTTACAATTTATTCTAGGTAACATTTTAAGACACCTATAAATTCAATCATTTTAAATTTTTACTTTTGAACAATTTATAATTTATTCTAGGTAATTCTAGATAGAACTTTTAAATGTATATTTTTTTTACTTACTTTGGTTAATTATTAGCTTAAATTTTCCATAAAATTAAATATTTTAATATAAATTATAGTACATATCAATATATTTGTACAATTTTATAAATATAAATATTAGTTTTAATATATCAACTAATTATTAGTATTTATCGATAAAATATTTATTATAGCGATTATTAGTTTTTTAATCTATCTAATTTACTAGAATTTTTTTATTAGTTAAAATTTTCTATAAAATTATATTTTAATATAAATTATAGAACATATCAATATATTTATAAAATTAAAAAATTAATTTTAATAAATCAACCAATTAAAAGTTATTTTTTTATTGATAGATTCTTTTCTCTAACTAACTTTAGTTAATTTAGTAATTATTATTAATTGTTAAAACTTTTCATAAAAATAACATATTTTAAAATAAATTTTAAAACATATCAATATTTTTGTACATTTTTTTAAATATAAAAATCACTTTTATTAAATCAACTAATTATGAATATTTATCGATGAAATATTTATTATAGCGATTATTATTTTTTTAATAAATTTGTATTTTAAAAAAAAATTAAAATACAATTTTAAGGCAGCTCTAAATTTACCAATTTTAAATTATTATTGAACTATTTAGGTAATTCTAGGCAATTGTAGGTGACTTTTAAATGTATATTTTTCTAACTTACTTCTAACTTCTAAGTTTAATTATTAGTTAAAATTTTCCATAAAAATTACATATTTTAATATAAATTATAGAACATATCAATATATTTGTACAATTTTAAAGATATAAATATCATTTTAATAAATCAACTAATTAAAAGTTATTATTGTATTGATAGATGAAATATTTAATATACCGATTATTATTTTTTTAATCAATTTTTATTTTTTTTTAAAATTAAAATACAATTTAATTTTGTTTTAGAATAAATTATGCATAGATTTTGTTTTTATTATTTAATAAGATTGTACTTCAAGTAATTGTAAACAAATATAATCAATATATTTATATATTCGCATAATTTTTCAGATAAAACAAAATAAACTGACATTAATTGGATTTTTAAGTTACAATAAAATAATTATAAATAACATCATTTGATTAAATACACGTTTTGTAATAATAATAATAATTTTTGTTTTTTTAATAAACATTTTTCAATGATTTGTTATTTTCAAAAAATATATCTTAAATCTTACAACTCTTGTGTCCAATCAATCAATCAATTAAAGCATTAGTTCATTGAGTGATGACTCGAAACAGCGCTTGAGTTCAGCAAATGAAACGATAAGAATGTTTTGTTCATCTCTAGAGATGAGACATATCTTCTCGGGTGAGCCGACGTCCAGTTTATTCAGATTTGATATCATGTGTCCTAAGTCAAGCCACGGACGGCCATCTTCACTGAACTGATGGAATAAGTAATCTCTAAACAATTTAAGCAAATATCGGTCACCAGTTTCCGACCAATTGGGGTCCATCTGAAGCTCTGGTCTCTCATTGATTGTCCCGAGTTTTATCAATAGTCTTACAACTCTTCCATTGTCTAACTCTTTTGACAGGTCATCCATTAGTGAATCTTCTTTGTGATACAATGTATCTAATTGTGTGTAAAATCTCGCGCCAATCATCGGCATTATGTCATTAATGGTATGCGTTGTCCCAGAGTTTGAATTATATGACAATAAGTAATAAACCAAAGAACGTAAGTCAGCTGAATAGGACCGGGAGATCAACTCTAACATTGACGGCCACGTGTCGCGATTGGCCGCCGATGCTATACTATTTGTAGACAAACAGAGACATAGTTTACCGAAAGACAAGAGATCTTCCTGTTGGAAGTGCTGTGTAATTAACTTAGGGTTAGTTGTATTGAGATAGGAATCGTTACCCAATACGTCAAACACTGCGCAACCATTGAGACGAAGGCGCGGGTATTCCTGAGAATTAGCAGAACCTGTACTACTAGTGCCAGAAGTGATGATGATTTTGGTTGGATCTAATGCTCGACATGAAAGACCTGCTAAATGAATGGCTCGCAGTGCTGATGATATCTGTATAATGAAGTTCCAGATCAACGGTTCCGGCAATAGTTTGCGTTGACTCTGCTGTTGACTGTACGGTCGCGAAGAACCAGAGTAGCCGTTCATTGAACTCGAAGAACTGGATGTACTGGAAGAGTGAAAATAATGACTCATCATTGTGTTGGCCATCGAGTGATAGTCGTAGACAAAGATGAGTGAGTTATCGCCAAATGCTTTAGTTGTAAACACTTGTCTCAATTGGACAACATTTGAGTGCAACAACTTCTTCCACGAGTCGATCGCAGCAATCATTTGCTTAGCATTGGCTGAGTTGGGCTGAAATGAGTGAAGACGTCTTAAGCAAAACAATTGTCCCGTTTTGCTGTTCGTCGCTCTGAAAACACTGCAAATCATGTTATTAAATGTTGTCGAAGGACTCGATATGTTGGCCTCGAGTGGCACTAAATCGGTATAAACGTCCACCACTTGAGGCAACTCTAAGTACATCTCATTGGAAGCCATGTCTTGAGAGACAATCAGTTTCCGTAACAATTCCTGTCTAATGGCGTCAGTCATGAAATAATTAGGTAATTGTTGGCCACCGATGGGTGCGTTAGAGGTATTCAATAAATGTGATGCTATTGCGTGAGTATTGGCTGAAGAACTAGGTTTGGTACCCATCAGACTCTTTTGCGGATCAATTGACAGTCCAGACATACGGTTGGGCAGTGAAGAAGAGTCGTTGCTGTAACCGGTGCTGACATAGCTGTTGCCACCATTGAGGTCACGATACGTGTTGTGCTGTTGTCTCGAATGAGTCGATTGGTTCTGTTGGTGGACCTGTTGGTGATTATTGTTGTGCCAGAACTGACAGTCGCTGCCATAAAAGCAATTGCCATCTGTGGCAAAGTATCGACAAATGGACTGCTTTTTGTTGCCATTCATTGAACTCATGGCTACCGTTGTGTCCATTCAAACGCTCAAAATGGTTACAAAAGTCACATCATTGTCATCGATGAAACACTTTATATATTAACACTTTATATATCTCTAAGACATATGGTTTCAGACAACGAAAAACAACAAGTCTTTCATTTGTTTGACATCACAAACAACTCACTCATTGTATTCAATATAACAATACATAGAAAGAGAGAGAAAAACAGTTTTCATATATTTGACTGAAAATACACTGAAATAGTCAAACAAACAATACTTTCCAATCAAACACTACGTCGACTCAGTTAACAGTTTTTGGGGATTTTTACCGATCATTAGCTCTGATAATACACTAAACAAAATCACACATAAGTTAAGTAAAGTTTAAATTATTTTTTTAAAAGTAGTTATCAATAATACTATTCACAGTTATATCAAGGTTTCAATTGACTTAGTATTATCTCATCAAATTATGATCAAGGTGAGATTATTATTTGTTTGTTTCAATGTACACAATAATTACAATATAATTATTATACAGTACATCCTCTGTATGTATTGTTTTTAGTTTTAAAAAATATTTTTAATTAAATTTAGTTATTGTTATGTTTGCTATTAATGGTTGCGTTAGTTAGTTATCAAATATTTTTTTTATAAAATTGTTTTAAAATATTATTACTTAAATATCTATAATTTTAATAATTTATAAATTTTAAGTATAGGTCTAATAATATTTAAACTTAAAATTTAATGAAATCACTTTAATTAAAATAGTGATTAAACTATAAAGTATTGTAATATTACATAAAAAATTATTAATTAGTATAAAATTGAAAAAAATTTCGTCCGATTTTAAATTTAATAATATTTTTTTAATATATAAGGCGATATCTCAATACAAAATTCTAGTATTTTAATGTTATTACTGTAAATAATTTATATTATTAGTATTATTATTATAACTACAGTAATTGTAATTAACGGAATGTAATTAACAAACAAACAAAAAAATATTTAATATTGTATTACAATTTATGTTTTATAATAATTATATAAATCTTGTTTTTATTGACCTACCGGTAGATAAATTCCCGATTTTTTTATATTAATGATAAATTAAAAAAAATTATTTCATGCATTATTACTGTATTATTATTATTATTACAAATGTGATATATTTGTACACATAATTAGCATTTTTATAAAATATATACAAACAAAATATTGAATGTTTAAGTGTACAAAAAACAATTGTTTTTAAAGTAATCGAAATATAATTAAAACATATAAATATAAATATATTGCTTAATATATTAATATTTTAATTATTTAGATATTTTTAAAATTTTTTTGATCGCTATGTATATAGAAAATAAAATCTCAAATTTTATAGAAATAAAATACAAATTAATGTCTAAAGATGTGGTGGCTATGAGTGACAATAACCAGTTAATGATTAATCAAATTAGACTACAATTATGATTACATTTAATTATTTATATATATTTATAAAAGAAATTTGTCTTCTCTTAAGACTTCTCGTAATAAAAAGTGATAACATATTAAATGCATATAAATGTGTCAATTGATTGCTTCATTCGGTGAATGTGTTAAACATAGATAAGTCTTCAAACGATGTCGGCTCCGATTGTCCTAACATTTGAAGCATATCTGACAGTTCTTGAGGTTGATGTGGTCCTCCCGGACCGTGGTTTGCAACCGACGGATTGCCGTGCGTTGGAGGATGGCTTACGGATGAGGCTGATGTAGTGGGCGCATCGGGTGCTCCATTATTATGCCATTGACCCCACATTCCTACTTATTATGTAAAGATCATTAATCAGATGTTTTTATTATTAACGGTATATATATACATACCTCTTGATCCCGGTGCCGAATTCAATTGTGTATACGTTGGTCCCGAAGGACTTCGTGATGGAGGACTGATTTGATTGTAAGCAACACTTTGATTGTATGCTTCAGTCTTTATAAACAATAAATATATTTTAAATACAAAATCATTTAATAAACTAATGAAGACATGCAGCGAAAGGACTAAAATAACTAACTCGAGTCAAATGTCTGGGAGTCCATGTGCTCTGCGGTGGAGAAGTGGATGAACCGGAAACACCGGTTTTGTTCATCTGCTGCGAAAGTGAGTTCGAAGCATTGGTACCACTATTCGGGTAATTGAGTGCGGAATGTGTTTGTGCTGTGGAATGGCTGGGATCGTATGCGTTATAGACCTGGTTATCATTGGCCGTTCGCCGGTCATTCATATTCTGATTGGGAATATGGCCGCGAGTCGACATCATAGATGAATAGACATCATTAGGCGGACGTTGTAAACTGTAATCTAAACCTTCATGTTTTGTCTGTCCCGGTATTATACCGACGCCTGTCATTGAATGCGGTTGATATTGATGTCCAATATTTGCATCAGTTGTTACAGTATTTTGTTGATCATTAGCCATCTCATTGCCACTCGAATGATGTAAACTTCTAATTTAATTAAATAAATTTAATTATACTCTACTGTTGTGCTGTAAATTCAAAGCTTATATACTTGGCTGAAGTGTTTGTGCAGACAATATATTCGACATCATTTGTATAAGGATTAAGAAATGCAAAACTACTGGTCCGTAGCCAAACCCAATCACAGTTCTTCGCCCGAAACCGATACATAACGGACATTACCTGACCTTTAAGTTTGAGCACTAAAATAAAAAATGAAATTATCATTTAGTTTACAGATAACAAAATAGCAATGAATCAAATGGATGCAAACCCTGTTCAAAGCTCTCTTTCATATGATTTTGGTCTTCGGGATGAAAAAAATCAAAGCATTGTTTTCCTAAAAGCTCTTGTGGTTGATATCCAAGAATATTAGAAACCCGTTGATCAACAAACGTAAACTTTCCATCCATATTGTGCCGCGAAATAAACTCATTGTTTGAATTAGAACCCATCAAATCACTGGTATTTGGCGTCGATGTCACCTGAAGTCGTCCGATAGCAACCAGACAACAATGGCTACCGTGTCCATCCTCTGAATCCATGCGATCCATTTGGACACCAGTTGGCGGCCAATTTTTGATATATCCAGTACAGTGAACCACTGCGTACGAGTTTCCGTCGGGTGATTGTCCCAAACTATTACGTTGTCTCATGCGATGGATATGACTCGGAGATATACTGTCCGGTTGTATGTTACCGATCTTCATACGACATATGAACCCACGTCTGGAGCCCATACATAATCGCATTGACGATTGATGGCCCTCTTTCTTGACAGTACCAGCTTTTCAGGATAAAAACAAACAAATAACTCATTAGTAATTATTGCTTATTTAAAAAAGATTTTTCAAATATTTACTTTTTAAATCAAGTATTCGTCCAGAATTTGGAGATTCTTGTGTTGAAAGTTGTTCCCTAACTTTGTCAACATCTTCGGGATGTATTATATCGTAAACACATGAATTGAAAAAATCAGTCTATAATGAAAACATAAATCATTTTTAAGTATTAACTATATGCATATATATATATATATATAATTCAAAAATATTATTACGCAGACCTGTGACTGGTTAAGCACTGGTGTCACCGAATCAGAGACATAGATGACACGTCCCGTATCACAGGCCACCACAAACAGGAAGCCATCGGCTGCCTATTAAATCATTCATTAAAATTAATCAATTTATTTGCTTAAAAAACATCATTTATACAATTAAGACATACTTCAAGAATCAAGTGCTTGAGCTCCTGATCGGTCAAAAATGATGGCTTATAAGTGCCATCACTGCTGGTATTACCGGTCCCTATATTAATGGTATTATCAAATTAAATATTTTGGCCAAGTACCAATTTTTATTAAAATAATATTTTAAGATTTAAATCTCATAATTATTATTCATATGACATAGACATCCAATAAAATACACAATATATGTATAAAATACTAGTTAATAACTCGTTAGTTAGTAAAATAGTTAGTAACATGTATTGTATATAATAAATTTAGTAACAATAGTAATTGTTATTTCAATTATATATGTAAATCACAAGTAATTATTTATATTATCGCAATTAATAAATTCACATCACTAACAATATTTTTATGTTGTCTATTAAATATATAAGAAAAAACATTTCAATTGAATGAAAAAATTACCGGTAGTTTAACATTCAAAGTATAGAAAAATTATTATTTTTTTATTGTGGATATAAAAAGATATTTATGATAAATTAAAATGTGAATTGAATTATAATTTAGTTATTTTTTCAATAAGCTCTTTGAGGTTATTTTTATTAAATAACATAAAACTTATATAAAACAGCATAAATCAAATACTATTACAAAACAAAACAATTAATTTAAATACGGTATTTCATTTGAAAAACAATTTATATATACAGTACTACAGTATCTATCCTAACATATAAATTTCACAAACAAAAAACTTTGTTAAACATAGGGCTATAGGTATTATAAAAATTAGGTGAACACAATGTTTTGCTAATTAATTGCATTTTTTACAAATGTTTGGACCAATAGTAATAACTAATAAAATAAAAGGCCATAATTAAAATCATTTCATATATGGGTTATTCACGATATGTATTAGACAATGAAATGAAACCAAAATGTTATCGACTCTATAGTTGAAGTTATTAGTGAATACCACATAAAAAACATAATTACAAGAAAAATGTAATCAATTGCTGCCCATAAAGACATGACTTCAACCAAAGCCCGAAGCGATTTCAACAAAATATATATTTATATTTATATGAGAAACAAAAGCATTTATATAGAGGTGAGAGAGGCATATGTGTGAGGGATTGGGATATTATTGGTACTTATATACAGTAATATCATATATAGACTGTATATTATAAATAAGTTTATGAGATGGGAAATGCACTCATTTTTTTAACGGCAATTTGTTTTTGGCTGATGTTTGACCACAATATCGTAGACATAAAAGCTAATCACATAAATGGCATTTGCATTGACTTTATTATTATTTATACAAATATTTAATAATATGATTAAAGCAACAAAAAACACTATAATATTGAGGGAAAATCACTTGACTTCATTAACTTGAAATCATTTTACTTATTAAATATTTATAATGCAAATATAGAGTACAACTAAAAACTATATGTTATATAATTTCATTATATTTGACGGCAAAATAGGAGGTATTAGAGTCTATAAGGCTTTTGCTATGCGTTTATACAATACATATGATATGAGACTCATATATGAGAGAAAATATAAATCACTTTTTTGTTTTTCATCGATTTATATGCAATACTACTGTATTTCATACATGCATTATATGATATAATAGCAAAAAAAAATATTTTTATAACAAAAAACAAAATCCAACAAAACTCTAAGTCTCTTTTGAGACCACTAGTGGATCAAATGATAGTCAATATTATGTTAAACTTATGAAAACGCAATTTTGTTTTATATCTGACCTCTTAATGATTTCATGTGTGCGACGGCCATCCTCAAAATGGTCAGTTTGTCGGGCTTTCGGGCCAATGCCGAACACGTGGGTACCATATCCGACAGTTCGGTAATATATGCCGTCATTTTGTTGCGACGCCTCCTCTCGATTTCGCTGTGATTCTCACTTAAAGATCAGTTCATAAGAAAAATAATTGTTGTCAACAAAACGTTTTTTTAATTTAATAATTATCATCAAATTATTGACATTTAGTTATTAACGCCAATCAACTAGCAATCAGATTAAACTTATTCAACACCAGAAATCCATTATTAGCCACACTTTGATGACCACCACTAATGTCATTCACAAACAGTTTTGACATTCAATGTAATAGATGTGTAAATCCATAGGACATCCTTGAGATGGATGGCAATGACGACTAGTTGATAGTAATTTTAATTATGTGTGTTTATGGTGTCAACTATCACAGACACCTATTGCGGTCGAAACGATGGTCACATCGTCATCAATATTAGTTGATGAAAGTGACAGTAGTGGTGGATAAATGTATGGCTAATAATGGACAGTCACTGGCAGACAGATCTAATGGTAAGACATACCGAGCGAACCGTTCCTTGTCTTGAGTGCCCTCTTCTTCCATTCGTTGGCCGTATTTAACTGTCTGTGTTTCGGCCATATATAGGATCAACTACTTAACTCCGGTGACCAATTGGTCCAACAAAACAGTCTTTAAATGGTATTCAATGGCAAATGTATTGGTTTTGTTAAGTATTTTATTTAAGCAATTATTGTGTGAACACAACAAACACTACATTCACAGCCATTCGATCATTGAATGCATTGATTCAATCGCTCACTACTTTATATGTGTTGATGAGTACAGTGTATCGCAACCATTGCCAGCCTATTATCCAACCATTCAAATGGCATTCAATGCAACCAATTATCTAATACTCTATTATCAAAACACAACCGACATCTGCCGGTACTACAAGTCAACCAACTATTACCTCAATATTATTAATGTTTTTAATTTACCGTTAAATGTTACTTAATTCCCACCATATAGAGATATGTAAGTTTGATAATATTAACAAATATTTTGTGACTTTAAATTTGCCACCCCCACCCCACCCCAACCCCCGTTTTTATACGTTTTCAAGTTTTACCACCCCTTGTATTTAGACGTCTCAAATAGTTCCAAACCCTTTGAATATGCTATTTATTTAGCGATTTAAAATATGTAAAAATACTGTAAACGTATACAATTATATTAAATACTGTTATAACTAATTAATTACAGGTAATAGTTATCTAAATATACCGTTTTTAATAGATTACTATTAAATATACATTATAATACACCATTATTGCTTTTTCCACACCGACGTTTAATTTACCAGTGGTGGTAAAAAATGCCAGTTTTTACTGTATGAAAATGTTATTTTTTCAAATATACGGTACGGTAATTAACACTAATTTATTTATAAATTACAATATATACAATATTTCATACAATATACAATTATTGTATAAACAAATTACTAAATTCATTAATTTAATTTAATTGAACAATTAATGATAAAATAATAATAAATAATTGACAAATAAAAACATATAATATCTAAGTAACAGTAAGTTATGTCAATTTTTATACCCGACCATCAATTGGACTCAAATAGTTTGAAGTGAGCGCTCGCTATCTTTTCATTTGTCTTAAAGCCGGGATATAAACCATTTTGTTTTGTCTCCCGATTGAGTCCTTTACTGTAACCTATAATTTAGATATATATTTAAAAATTATATAATTTCTAAAATAAATTTGTTTTAATGATTACCGTTCCAATGGTTTCCAGCAATTCCTAAAAATATAAAAAATTTATAAACATATAAATATATAAACAAAACAATATTACTTACCAACGACATCACCAATTTTAAGATCAATTTCATGGCTATTCTGTGATTTGTGATTAAGTATAGCGATCTGATTGTGATCTGATTGACCGCCAAAATAATAGATATCGTCTAATGAATAGTAAGCACTGGATTTATCCAATTTTGTTGAGTACGACTTCGGCTCAATCCTGGTCTGCATCAACTCGTAGGCCAAACGACATACCTGTGAACTAAAAGTGCAAACAAGAAATTCTGTTTCACTTAATAGCCATATATCGAGAATTATGTTTCGCAATGAGTCTATTGAGTAACGGCGGCCAAGACTTGCAGTTTGAGCTAAATTTTTGAATTTAAAAAATAGTAAATTTCATAACATATACCGTAAGATTAAAGCTTAAATACATACAGATTTGTGAATCACCAATAAATATATATCCCATGTCTTCAAATGGTTTAATTTCTTTGGACCACAAAGAAGAGTCATCGGTAGCTAAATATACTAAACGTTCAACTTTTGTATTCTGAAACAATCAAAATAATAATTAATAACAGATTATTACAGAAAATTGTTTTAACAAACCGTTTGATTTCTTTCATAGAATAGATCCAATCGATCGTAATAATCGGCAACAAATTTCATATATTCGGCCAACGGATGAAAAGCCGCTTCGGTACCAATTTTGTCAGTGCGACGGACGTGAACTCCAACTATAGGTCCTCTGAAATTGAATCTCTCTTTCTGTTTCTTTATATAATCACTCATCTCTTGCGATGGTCTCATCAAAAAACTGACAATTTGTCCGATAAACCAGACAATAGGTGCGCCGTGCAGTTGAACCAATGATTGTGTTAATTCTTCGGGTATACTCAATGGTAGATAATCGGGACGAGAACGCATTGAATCAATTATTGGCAGATCAACGACCTGTTTGATTGAATTGTTTAAATTATTAATAAAAATATTTTAAAACATTACTGCAATCATTAAAACCTGATAAATATCTAAATCTGATGAAGAACTCCATGATATTCTACTGGAACCGGAATCATCCAAACAGGTCTGACTTAAAGGCAAAAAAACTGAATCCCAACCCTTGTTTGACGATCCTTTGGACTTTGACTGAGCGTAACGCCAGTTCTGTGAATTCATAATAAGAGTACGCTTTGTGGCCATCGCGACAATCATACAGTAAACCAAATGATGTATTTGACAGCCAAAGCCACAGCCTTTGTTTAGTTGACAGATCAACTTCTTTGTTGAACCACATTTGTCTTTAACTGGATTTTGCAATTCATTTATCTTATTTTTAACCAAATCATTCAATCTTTTAAACTCGGATTTTCTCCAAATATTATCTCTCTTTTCGATGACCTCTACAATCACCGATAAACTCTATTAATAAACATTACTTAAAAATGAATATTCAATAAAATTCAAACCTAAATCATAAAACATATTGTGTTTGATTTGGTTAACGAATTGCATGATCGATGAGTTGGTTTTGGTTCTCAAGAAGTGCCACAACTCATTCATATTAAACTCAACGCGACGTCGACTTAACTCATACTCTTGTGATGGAAAGTATGACGACTTTAATGACGACGACTTTGCATCCGATTGTTGGCCAGAAGTGACACTTAAATCAATTGGCAAATAGTTTTGCAATAAACTTCTCAGCTCTTCATTTTGTGCCTTAAGAGCCGTCAATTCATTCATTGCACGGGAAAGTCGGGCCAAAATCATTTCGCCGTTACTATTCATGTCAACATTGCCGTCATCTCTATTGTGCGACCAACCGATCAATGGACCAGTTATGACAAATATTACGAGAAGCCATACAATAACAATGGCTAAGTCATCAATAGATAAGATAATTAAAATCAAAATTTGATTGTAATATCAAAAGAGTGCCACAAAAGTGTGGTAAAGAAGTTACCGATTAATAGACGACTGGCCGAAGTCACCGAAAAAGAGTGAATCATTGCCACCAATGATTGATTGCACGTTATGTCCAATTAAATGGTTGTCTTCTCTCTGATATCATGTCATGTCTTCCGTGTCGTGTCTATCGCTGTCTGTTTGAGTGTTTGTTTCATTCAAATCAATATAATTGTCACTCAAATGACAAACATTTTTGTTTTCGTTTTATACAAACAAATAGACACTCAATATATAGAGTCGACAATTGTTCAAAACAAACGTTACGCTGGGTTTACAACAAACGATAGTTTATCAATTGTACACAAATTCATATTATTTATATAAAATATTTAACACATATAATGACAAATTAGGGTACAATACGTTACAAACAATTGTAACACTATTTTTTAATTATTAAAATTAAGTGTATTTATAATAATTTCTATTAATTGTTTGTTTTGATTGTTATTTTTCACAATTAAATTATTGTTTATTTTTTCATTGATATCGACGTTAAATGTCATTGAAATCATTGAAAACCATTGATCGATACAAACAATCAATTGAAGAGCACTTTTAACAAACATTTAAAGACATTAATACTTATAAAACATATTCAATACAATCATTTCACACATAATTTAGTTTTTTTTGACAATAATTTAGTTGTTTAGTCAATAAAACAATAAAATGAGCGCAGATTCAGCTGAAGACGTAAAGATGAGTTCATCAATAGAGGATAGGGTAACCGTTACCACGATTTTTCAGTGATAATATCAATTGATTGACCACTTTTTCCGATTGTTCCTTTAGGTGATAAATCTGTTGAACGATTCGATGACTACCACCGATGACAACGAAAAGGTAACAAATCTGCGCAAAGTTCAGGAATTGGTTTTACATAACGACTTGTTGGACAACTTCTTGGACGAAATTCTTGGCTTTCAAAACGACAGAGACATTGATGTCAGACGTTTTGTGGTCGGCTTTATAGAGAGCGCCTGCAAGAAGGATCCCGAGTACTTCCCAAAAGTTATTATGAATTTAAAGGTTATGTTAGCAGACGATAGCTCTAATGTCATCAAAAAGGCCATACAGACGGCCACTCAGTTATATAAAGAGTTTCTTAAATGGATTTGCAAAGGAAAGATCAACGAATTGGTTGAATCAGTTTATGAGGAATGGCTTCAAATAAAATTACATTTGTTTGGACTGTTAGACAATGCAGACAACGATGGCATCAGAACACAGGCCATCAAATTCATGGAAATGATTGTCATTTGTCAGACACGTAAAGACCAGTTCACTACTGGCGATGACTTTAATTTGGACTCAATGTCTTCGAGTCAATTGATCGATTTGGACGCACTCGAAGAAGAGGCCAAACAAGTGTTTGAACAGTTGATTATATTTCACGGAACACCTCATATATCTAGTGTTAACTTAATGGCAACAATGCAGACATTGACACTGATTTCTAAACAGCGATCGCAACTGTTTATGGCAAAAGTGATACAAGCGATGGAAGCACTTCACGCCAATCTTCCGCCAACTTTAGCCAAATCTCAAGTCAATTCAGTTCGCAAACAATTAAAACTTCAACTTTTGATACTTTTAAAACATCCCATGTCTTGGGCATCGTCGACATTTCAGACACAAATTACTCAATTGTTAATAGATTTAGGCGCCTCTCAGTCGGAGATTTATAGATGTCTGAATGAACACAGAAAAAGAGCCATAAAAATGGAGCCCAAAGATGTCGAAGTAAAGCGAATTAAATTGGAATCCGACGAACTCGACGATGAAGATAATGAACCGCCGCCTGTAATTCCATCAGCAAAGATCACTAAGAATGAGGCCAACACTGCCATTGATATTACGGCTGAGGATATAATTCCTCGTTTGAATATCGATAATGTCTGCGATTTAGTTCTTGTATCTTTATTAGCACTTCCCGATTCTATGCCACACCATTTTCAGGCCACATACACACCAGTGGCTGCCGCCGGCACCGCGTCTCAAGTCAAACATTTGGCCCGTCTTTTATCCTCACAATTAACAGCCCAAGGATTGGGAAAAGGGGTACAAGAAATGGTAGAAAAAATGACAAATTTATCAAAAGCCCAATTGAGTGACGAACAAACTGTTGAACAAAATCAGAAAATAGCGACAATTATTGGTAAATCAATAGCTCAAGAGCTAAAGAAACAGGAACAGTTACAATCACAACAACAACAACAGCAGCAGCAACACCAACAACAACAAAAAGTAAGACTACAACAATCAGGTAAACAGTTGAGTGGAGGCGTTAAATTGAAACAATTAAATTTGGCTGAAATTACTAAACCATTGAATGAAGAGGTGAAGAATCAGATGGCTTTGGATGCCATCAATCGGATACTAAAAGAAGATAAAAAATATTTCTTTTCGACGACACAGTTAGAGACCAGAATTAAGATATTAGCGATGCTTTCGTGTGAATATAACGATACATCCAATATTGAATCATTGATAAGAAACTATGCATTTGAAGACATCCGAAATCGACACGAAATCCTATTCAATGCACTCTATAATGAGTTTGTTTTTGCCAAAAAACGTGACAACGATTTTACCCATTATTCAGTCTATTTGACAAAATTATTACAAGACTTGATGACAAAAACAGAACTCAAAGATCGCGACCATTTTCTCACTAAGTTTTACTCTGAGTGTCCACTTTTGACCGTACAGTCCATTGATTTATTAAAACATTTTATTTTAAGCGACGATATGTATACACTGAGTGTTAGCACCGGTATTAATATATTGAAAGATTTAATTGAAACTAAAAGAAAACATGCCATCAAACTAATATCACTATTACTTGAGCTGTGTATTCATCCCGAAAAGTCTGATGTTAGGTCACATTCAGTAAAGACCGCCAAATATTTATATGAAACTTATAATAATGATAGCATTAGACAACCAATCGAAGAGTTTGCATTGAAAGCTCTCCGATATCTCTTAGAACCTCAACCTCCGGCAGTTATAGACAAAGAAACTACTGGCCTCTGGAACGACGACTTAATTAAATTATGTCTTGTATTGTATTTAAGTCTTTTGCCAACAAGTCATAGACATATTCATGATTTAGCCGTTGTCTATGTAGGCACCAGTGCTGACACTAAACGTATTATTCTAAGAGTTCTCGAAGGTCCAGTCAAAGGAATGGGAATGAACTCTCCAGAACTGTTACTTCTAGTAGAGAACTGTCCAAAAGGTGCCGAAACATTGGTGACTCGTATTATACACGTTTTGACCGATAAACAGCCACCGAGTGCTGAACTAGTATCCCGAGTCCGCGATTTATATCATAAGCGAGTGTCTGACGTCAGATTTTTGATACCAGTGCTCAATGGTTTATCTAAGGCTGAAGTTATAGGAGCGTTGCCTAAACTTATTAAATTGAATCCCGTTGTTGTCAAAGAAGTTTTCAATAGACTTTTAGGAGCTCATGGTTTGTAGATTTATTAAATTATTTTTTGTTTGTCTTAAAAATTGATTAAAAATCTTAATCTAATATTAATTATTCATTTTTTACAGTCGAGTCGGGAACCAATTTTCAGAGTCCATTAACTCCCGCTGAACTTCTTATCGCATTACATAATATCGATCCGACAAAATGTGAAATCAAGACTATCATCAAAGCAACCAATTTATGTTTTGCTGAGACAAACATATATACGGCTGAAGTGTTAGCAGTTGTTATGCAACTGTTGATGGAATCAAATCCATTGCCAACACTATTGATGCGAACAGTCATTCAAAGTCTCTCACAATATCCACGACTAATAGGTTTTGTTATGAATATATTGCAGCGATTGATATTAAAACAGGTGTGGAAACAGAAGAAAGTATGGGAAGGATTCATCAAATGTTGTCAACGAACTAAACCACAAAGTTTTCAAGTGTTGCTCCAATTACCGGGACCTCAGCTGAAGGCCGTGTTTGCCAGCAGTCCTGACCTACAGCCGGCACTTCAAGAGCACGTCAACACTTTTACAGACCATCAGCGATCACACATACCTCAGTCGATATTAGATGTCATCTTTTTGTCCACTGAGATAACCGGTGAACTACAGACCACTGAAGCAAATGAAGAGACACCGACTATTGGTAGTAATATACCCACAGAACAGACGGCAACCACTTAGTTATGATTTTTTATGATTTAAAAATAAAATATAATTTAATAATTTTGTATATTTATTTGTAAGAAAATTATAAAATTAGACATTTTTATATATTAGTTTATGTATTAAATTAACTATTAAAATGTTTAGAAAACAAATTTTTAAACTTATCATTAAAAATACATTTAAAATTTTTGTCGCTTTTATTTATGACTATTTGTATGTCGTTTGTCATAAAAAAAATATATATATATTACAGAAAAGTGATGAACTATACTATATATATATATATGATTCTGAACAGTAGGTCAATCCTAAGTGATTATCAATAATACATTAGGAGTGTAAATGTCTTTATAAAAGCGAAATTTGAAGAGATTAATGCAAAGATAAAAAGATATGAGTGGTTAGTATGCATTTGGATAGCGATGTTTGAATGAACGGTACCGACGAAGATATCACATCAGTTTTGAGAGGAAAGCTCCGGTAGTTTTGTTGCAAAACAAACACACAATAAATACATTGTTGTCTGTGGTCTCTCTCCTTCTCTCCTCTCTCTCTCTCTCTCCCTCTCTCTCCTCTCTTCTTCACTTTTCCAGTGCCTCTGAAACTCATTTAATGATTAGAGTATTGAGTTTGCGCTTTGTCTGCAATCGGCAGCCAATCGTGTCAACCACTCTATGATAGCCCACATACAGAGTGTGTCTTATACTGTGTTTGTGATCCGCGGCTCCCATTTACACGACGATATGGCTGTTGTTGTCATCACCGAAACACATCTGACAGCAGACCATCACATGTCTCATTCATCCACCATCTAATCACAACCCCAGACCCATCATATGACCATTGAGTCCAACAGAATGGGGTGAGTAGTAGTAATGATAATAATAATAATAGTATTAGTTTTGTGTTCATTGATCTCTTTAAGACAATTATCGATATATTTATTTTATTATCAATACTCTTGAGCCGTATTTTTAATATATTTATTTATTAATTATATTATATTATTAAATAAGTCTTATTTTAAATAAATAAATAAATAAATTAGCCATTTATATAGATATATAATATATATATATATATAATTATTTGTAAAATGTCGAGAATGCGCTAGCTCAAATATTCTCGTAGATGTACATACAGTACTGTATATTGGTATTAATATTTAGTTTATATAATGTAAATATAACTTAAATATTATTAACTAATTATATGTTATTAATAGTATAAATATTTTTGTTATATAAATTATACATTAACTGAGATTTTAATAGTTGAGTATATTATTACTATTATTATATATACTTATTTTTATTATTAATAATTAATTAGTATACTGTATTTACCGACACTACTGTTTGTTATATATCATATATATACTACACAGTATTTTAATGTATTAGTTAACAATACTACAGTAGTTTGTTAAATAAATTAATAAATTTTGTATACAAGACACACACACACCACACAAATAACTAATAATTGTATTGAATAAATTAATGGCAATATAAATAAATTTCTATGACTTTATTGGTTGGGCTTTAATTAGATTATCACGATTTTTACAATTTATTAAGACAAAAGTAATTATTTGACTCACATTTGCAACAAATATGCGCTTAAATAAAGATAATATAATACATACAAAAAAACAATACTTTAATTTTTAGACATGTTTTTTCTTAAATATATGTATTAATGTAATTTAAATGGCATTGAATTGGAAACACAAAATCGTGTCTTAATTTCTTTAAGTTTGTTTGTTGTTGTGGTTGTTTCGCATCACTTACCAGTTTAATGAATATATGACCACTTTTTTTATATTTTCATTGATTAAACACAGCAAAAATATTTTTTTGTTTTTGTTTTTTTAAAAAAAAATTAAATGTTGATACAAATTGATACAAATAAAAATGTATTTCTTCTTTGCGGTGATAGAGAACAGCCCATCTTCACGACAAAAGCGCACGTCTTCCACATCGATCCGCAGACCAAGAGGTCATGGATTCCGGCCAGTGTTCAGGCCGTCAATGTTTCCTTCTTTTATGATTCAAATCGCAACTTATATAGGATTATAAGCGTCGAAAATGCCAAGGTAGTTTTAATTTTAATTGTATATATTTTATTCATAATTTTAATCATAAACTAAATTTTTAAAAAAATAATAATAGGCTATACTTATATATAGTATATTTTTGTTTAAACTATATATATAAAAGGGGTTTTCATATATTTAGCACATGCGGTTTTTGCTATAATTCTTAAATGGTGTGAGATATATTAATTTTGTAAAAAATGTATTAAAATATGATTTACGCGTGATATTATAAAACATTAAATTTTTAATTTTGATCACGTGATCATATTTATTTTGGGATGTTTGCAAACCACTATGTCAGAACCTAATCTATAAATGATAGAATAAAATTTCAATTATATTTTTGTAAAGCTTACATTGAAAATTTATGGAAAGAAAGAATTTTTAAAATTGGTCGAAGAATAAAATTTTTATGGTTTTTCAAACTTGTGGAATAACACATTATATAAAATAGTCAAAAATAAAATGACGTTATTTATGGATAGTAGACACTAATTAGATAAAGATTTTAATACTATTACTTATTCTAAAAACAAAATTTTTTTATGTCGAATATTTTTTTAGATATTCAAATTACAATAAAAAGCACAACATAGTAATTCGATAATGTAATTTGTAATTAAATTTTATTATTTTAAAAAATATTCGACATAAAAAAATTTTGTTTTTAGAATAAGTAATAGTATAAAAATCTTTATCTAATTAGTGTCTACTATCCATAAATTACGTCATTTTATTTTTGACTATTTTATATAATGTGTTATTCCACAAGTTTGAAAAACCATAAAAATTTTATTCTTCGACCAATATTAAAAATTTTTTCTTTCCGTAAATTTTCAATGTTAGCTTTACAAAAATATAATTGAAATTTTATTCTATCATTTATAGATTAGGTTCTGACATAGTGGTTTGCAAGCATCCCAAAATAAATATGATCACGTGATCAAAATTAAAAATTTAATATTTAATAATATCACGCGTAAATCATATATTAATACACTTTTTACAAAATTAATATATCTCACTCCGTTTAAGAATTATAGCAAAAACCGCATGTGCTAAATATATGAAAAACCCTTTTATATACATGTTTTTTTTGGATGTAAAATTTATTGTCAATATAAATCAAAATTTTTAAATCAATTTTTATTTAATAGTTTTTTGTCCCAATTTTTGTTATTATTTTTTTGTTATTTATTTCTAATCAATTCAATACAGTATTTTTATGGTTATATTTCAAACTACATGTGCTTTGATGCGGAACTGATTCATCGAAAAAATTATCCTAAAATACTAATAAAAAGCAATAATAATAACTAATAATAATATAATAATAATAAAATGTTTTTTATTTCTAAAATAATTTTTTATATTTATATTATTTTATATTTATTAATAGGCTGTCATTAATAGCACAATAACTCCAAACATGACTTTCACAAAAACATCACAAAAATTTGGTCAGTGGTCTGATATTAGGGCCAACACTGTATACGGTTTGGGGTTTGCATCAGAACCTGAATTAAATAAGGTTTGTATTGAAATAAAATAATTATTATTTTAATAACCATATTGTGCCTAATTTCGCATTTTTAAAATTAAATTTAGTATAAACTAATTTATCATTTTTTTCGGTTAATAACTATTATTTAATTTATTTGTATGTTTTAGATTCAAGTTATTATAGCTAAATCTGATAAATTTTTAAAAAATGGTTTATTATAGACTATCACAATACTTACAATTATTATTTATTAAGTCACGCTTATATAAATTTATATGATTTTTTTAAATGATAAAATATCTTATATAGTATTTTATTAAAAAAAATTTATTTACATATTGCTATTGTTTTTAAATAGTCAAATTCTTAGTGTACTTTTATTATTTAAATAATAGTATTGAATAAAATACTATATAATATAAATATTACCTGTTCAATATGTAATACAGTATATGGTATTAATATAATATTATATTTAAGCATTTTATAAACATTATATACGGTACAATTAATCTAATGAATTACTAATATACTTATTAAATTAATGCTAATAATAGAGATTTTCAGTAATATTTATGATTTTAAATTAAATACTTAAATAATATATTATTTTAAAAATATTATGAATATTTTATTTCTACAGTAATTATAATATTTAATTAGTCGGAAATTTTAGTTTTTTTAATTTAAAATAAATTAGACAGTAATTTTGAATATATATCTAAAATAAATATAAAAAATTTATTACAAATTCCAAACATACAGTGAATTGCATACAAAATAATAAATTTATATTTTTAAGTATAGCTAATTATAGCACACTTTGATATTTAAGATAAATTTTAAAATTTATTAATTAAAACTTTTAAAAATATATATTTTTAGTTTATAGAGAAGTTTCAAGAAGTCAAAGAAGCGACCAGAAGTGCGGCCCAACAGAAGGCATACCCGAACGGGTCTATCATTAATACAAATGCAAATCAAACAACAAATAATCGCGAATCGACTCAAAACAATGACTTAGCCAACGAAGAGATAAACAGAGGATCTAACAGCCAATTAGATCCACCCATTAGTGTAACGCTTCCTCTTCATAATAATGAACACAAAGGATCACTTGTGGCCCACCAAAGGAGTCAAAGTCTGTCCGGACTTCAGGCCAATAAAGTAATCAATTTATTATTTAGTAGTTATTTAGTTAACATTCAATTTCATCTGATTTTTTCAACGAAAAAAATGTATAGTTGCTTACGGAGAGTCCTAAATATTCACATAAGGATACAAAGTCAATGGGCTCGACAACACTACCGCAGTCATCAACGGAAGCTCAGCTCAAATATGAAAACGATAGACTCAAACTAGCACTCGCACAAAGGTATGGCACCGGTATCTTAATTTCACAAAACAAATATATTGTATTCAATAATACTGTAAATCAAATAAATTATTATTAATTATTTTTTTGATTAATTTAATTTAATAGTTCAACAAATGCCAAAAAATGGGAAATAGAATTACAAACATTGAAGAGTAATAATACAAGACTGACGAACGCTCTGCAAGAGTCCACCGCCAATGTCGAGGAATGGAAGAGACAATTGCAGACATTGAAAGAAGAAAATGGAAAAATGAGACATAAGGTTTGTCTACTAAAATTAAATAAATAAAACCATTATTTATTAATTATTTATTTAATCATTCAAATAAAAATTATTATTATTATTATTACATTTAGTTGCTTGAAGTTGAAGTGAGTAATGGCAATACTGATGCCATGAACGAACTGAGCAAAGAAATGGCTAATTTAAGTGCAAGGGCTGAACATTTAGATTCAGAAGTTAAACAAAAAGATAAAGAAATGGAACAAATGAGGAAACGACTCGATGAACAAAACCATATATACAGCACATCCCATAAAGTGGACGACAAACTTAAGGTATGTCTCATATGATCTCAAGTATTGTTAATACTATAGTATTTATTTATTTAACTGTATATGTTATGGCATTAAACTATTGTAGTAATAGTAAACAGTAGTTAAAAGTTTGATTTGATTTATATCTATTTAAAGGATATAAATTTGAACAAACAATTATTAAAAATAAATTTACAAAACTTTTTCTATTGATATTATAAATGATTATTTTTTTAAAAATGTCATTTCATTTATTTATTTCCTATTGTTTAAGGCATTACTTTATGAAAACGAGAATCTCCGGAGTCAACTGAATCGGATTCACGACCAAAACGACAACAATAAGGTGACAGATAAGACACGACAGGGATTTCTGGAACAGTTGAACAAAAGATTAGCTCAAAATATTCAAGAACTGCGACAAATTCAACAAGAATTTGCACAATTGTTGAACACTTCCTGATTTTGTGGCCAAATATTATTATTACAATTATTATTACACAAACTAAACAAATAATTGAAGAAAAAAACACTGGAATTTGCAAATCGATTCTGTGTTTTTGACTAATAAATAATAATAATAATAATATTATTATTATTATGTTTTGTTTATAAATAATGAAAATTTATTGGTTACATATAATTATCATAATTAATGGTGATTATTAATTTGATGATTATAACACGATAATTAATTTTAATTTAAATTATAAAAGCTCACTAGAACAAATTGTATTTAATTTATAAAAAATATTATTTATTATATTGTATGTATGTATTATTATTATTATTGATTATTTCAAGAAATATTTAAGTTGATAATTAATGTAAAACTAGTGATTACTTAATAGTGATTAATGAAAGATATATTGATAAATATATATATATATATATAAACAATGTGTAAATATTATTAATAATTAATAATTTCAGTGCAAATAATAATAAACTGATCGAATCTCAAGGATTAAAATTTTGAATGCAATTTTAACTTAAATTAAATGCAAAAAAAATAATTTTGATCTCATTTTTTGTGAAAAATATTTAATAAATAAAATTAAATGATTTATACAGTATATATGGGAGAAAAAAAATTTGGTTTTTAAAAAATTTCACAATGTTTTGCCATTTGTTTTGTGGAGGAAAAAAATCTTTGGAATAAATCTTTGATTTTTAAAAACAAAATAAATAAATAAAATAAATGATAAATAAATAACAGACTAATGATATGATGTATTCTTGATTTCTGAGCTAACGGTGCCTAATGTAGTAGTGCTACCACTTGCCTATGAATATCCTTTTGATGGCTTCATTAATACTATTTAATTGCGAGCCTTTGGTAGACTTCCAGCACTTACAGCTGCCGTTTACCAGAAACCAGTCGTAATAGACTCGGACCACAAAACAACCGATTTTATCGTAACCATCACACTCTTTGGTCTGTTGTTTAGTACTCTTTGTGGTCAACTCGTCCTCCATATCATAATCTGGATGTTTAGGTTTGTTCATCATTTTTCTGGCATTTCGTGGAGTGATATACTGTTTTGCCAGTTGTGGTAATACTGGTCGGGATGGTTGTTGGTGTTGGTGTTGTTGTTGTTGGTGTTGTTGTTGTACTTTTGATTGCGGTTGAAGTGGTTGTGTTGGTTGTGGTTCATCCGAGACATCCATTCGTCTCAAATCATTGCCAAACGGTTGCAAATGCAATGGTGTTACTCTTGTTTTTAATTTGTGATTATTTTTAACGCTTATTATTTGATTATTTTGATTATAATTTACAGCCGGTTCGGGATTTACTGGAAAGTAGACGTCAGGATAAAATATTTCAGCCACTAGTAAACTGACCCATCTTAGTTATAAATGAATTTATATTTAAAAAAAAGTAAATAGTTAATAAATATAATATTTAAAATCATAAGATTTTTTTTAAAAAAATTATTAAAATTGTACCTTTGTGATTCAGTACAAGCCCCACCCTCTACTAGGTCACATTTGGTTTTCCTAAAAATTAATAACAATATATGGATATAAAGTTAATCATTATTTTTATTTAAAAATAATTTGTTTAAATTAATTATTTTCTATACATACAAACAGGTTGTTTTTTGAATGGTTTGCGTGAAATATCTGGGAAAATACACATAAGAAAAATTGTTTTAATATTGTTTTTATATAAACATGAGTTTAATTATTTTTTTACAGAAAAAGCCGAAATTTTGCACAAATATTCACACAGTATTACATTATATTCATTATTTATTAAATCTTATTTTATTTACTTAATTTAAGCTTATTTTATTTGCTGATACTAAATAATGTATTTATTTAAGCATATAAATAATTATTGGTCTTAAAATTATTTGCAAAATACATTATTATTATTATTATTAGAATTTAAAATTTATTTTATTTTATACAATTTATGTTTTGTATATTAATTAATTATTTAAAAAAAAATTATTTAATATATTATTATCATTTAATTGAATGATTTATTGACATTATTTAGTTATTTACTAAATTGAATAAAATGTTTTTAAAAACTTACCCTTCACTGGGAATCTGAACCACATATTTCCAGATTCCTTGATAATTACGAGCAAATGTCGGTGATATATATTCTTCAATTGCTGGACAAGGAGTGGTCGGTTGATCCGATGGTTCTGGCAATAGATCTTCGGGTTCGAGTGGTTTTCGTCGTCTCGATGGAACTTTATTCGAGTTTTGATAACTTAAAATATAATCAATTATAGAAATCAATGGATTATAATTAGCATTGTTTGAACCGCCAAATGCCGACAAAGTGGACAACACTTGAGCTATAGTTGACTTATTATCGTTATTCGTATTAAAGTTAGTATTTAAATTATTATTATTATTATTGTTATTATTTTGTTGTTGTTGATCACCCAACTGACTGCCGTATTGGTTGACCATTGAGGCCAAATTACCAATTGAGGCTAAGTTACCGATTGAGGCTAAATTACTCATTGAACCTAAATTACCGATTGCTGCCGCGTTACTGACTGCCGACACAACGTTAGTCAGAAAATTTTTTGAAAACGGACCGTCAGTTTTAAGCGCATCTATTGCCTGACATATTCTGTATATAAATCATTTTAATTAACTTTTTTTATTTTAATGTATTTTTGTTGTCCTTACGAATTGCCGTCACAAAGAGTCTGTCTTAAAATGTCAGTTACATTCATATCAGTCTTAACATTGGTTTCATTAATTGACACATCATTTTTGACTTCACGGATGAATCTTCGTTGATATGGCGCTCCGTTTATGCTATAATTTAATTAATGATTTAATCAAATAATTTTGATTTTTTAAAATTATCAATAATAATAATTTTATCCTAATATAACTTTAAATGCATATTATTAATTAATGTTTAAAAAAAATATTATTAAATATAAATGTAATAAATATATAATATTACTTATTTTGATAAAATGCTATTTATATTTAAAATATTCAATGTTATATTATATTTCATTTTTTTAATTTTTTAAAAAACTTACTTATCATAAATATCTTGCTGTTTATGTCGATTGTATAGTTTTGCCACTTTTGGGATCGTATTTATCCTCTGTTTAAGCACTGGTAGCGCATTAGCCAAAAAATGAAGGGTTTTGTTTTTGATGATTTCACTTTAGATTTCAAATATATATATATAATATATACTTTAAAATATTATATTACAATAATTTATATATCTATTACTATTTTTAACCAACAACACACACACAAAAAACAAACTGTTACGTACAATGGATATGGCTGATCCATGACATCCTGTCCCATTGGATTCTTTGGGATGAATCCAAGATTTAAATCACCACAAAGTGTATGCTTTGGCGACAATGCATTTTGTCCACCATTTAAGCCTAAATTAAATCACAAAAAAAATTATTTTTAACTATAATAAAAATATAAAGTTAAAATAATAGTTTTTAAAAGTGATAACTCTACCTGAACATTGAATATTAGTTGGAATATAAGGAGGTTTCCTAACTTTTGGTGGTTTATTGATACCAGGAGTTGCCTTTGCAAATGAATAGTAGTTATCATTTGTTTGGAGTGACGGTTGGCATGTAATGCACTCTAAAATTACGAATAACTTTATAAAAGACAAACAATTTTATTACATTTATAAATAGCGTTTAAAAATTATAAATAAATAAATAACACAAATTGATTTAAATAAGAGTAACGAAAACATTTTTTTTACATACAATTGAAACAACAAATATCATGATTTTTTTTTGGTTTAAATATATTCATCAAATTTGATCACTGAATACAAAACATTGATTTCATTTCCCAATGCATAGGCAATGAATGCTTAACAATAAACGAATAAATAAATGGATTCAATGTATGAATGAATGCAACTGAGAGTTGATTTCTGAATAAAGTTTTTGTTTTTTTCTTCTTCTCATTTCTTGCCGTAAGATATATGAGAAAACAGGAAGAAATATTAAACACTGGCAGACAATACCATAGGATGTGATGCAAGTGTGAGGAGAAGTGAGTGAATAAGTCGACGGACGGACTTGACCTCAAACTTGAGGCCTACAATCAACACATACATCTCTCTCTCTCTCTCTCTCTCTCTCTCTCTCTCTCTCTCTCTCTCTCTCTCTCTCTCTCTCTCTCTTTCCTTACAAAAACATATTCATCAGGTTTTCTGTTGCATATACTTATATTCACAAAAGCAAAACATATATTTCCACTTTTAGCTTAATTTTTTTTATAATTAATCAAATTATAGTTAGCACTATTGAAAGACACACACACACACACACACACACACACACACACACACACACATACTGTACATACTATCATATACCTGTAGATAAACTTGATTATTAGTTTTTTTGTAAGTAATAATCATGCAATATAAAACAGTTATTAAAAAATGTATATAATTATATATATGTAATTCAACTGCTAATTTTATTTTTTTTATATAAATGTTATGAGATTTAATTTTTATGCTTCAATTAATTAGCCAAATGATGAACCAATTATTTTATAAGTAAATTAAACTGTATATTCATAATTACAGTAAACACTCAAATGTCTTGTATTTTTTAAATATATATATTTGACGGTCACAACTATGTTAGTAATTATTGTTTAAATACTGTATTTCTAATAATAATAACAATGTTAATAATTAGTCAAATGTTTGATGAATATGTTATACTGTATATAAATATACATTTATTTACAAATGAATATAATTGCCTCACTGACTGGTATTATGTCAATTAGCTGTCATTCATAAATTAACTCTAATAATAGTTATATCATATAATTAAAATATACTATATATTGTATATTACCTGGATAATATTTTTTATAGAATTCAATAATCCAGATGAATATAAATAAATCTGTAAAGTTAATGACAATAATAGTTATAGCTAAAAGTGTATTACCAAATTGACCTAGCTCAATAAAAATATCTATACAACTATTGATTTTCTAGCTAATTCTTATGGTATAAAAACTTTTTTTCTAGTAATATAGCTCAGGTATGTGAGGACAGGGATGTGTCATATCTTAGAAAAATATTCGCTATTGTTATGTATGTACTGTAATATATTGTATATACAAATCTAAAACAATAAATATGTTAGTTATATAATAGACATATTTGTTAATTTGTAATGTTTTTGGCATATATTTGTCTTATTTTTATTTTCATGATTCATATATTTTTATTTGATAGACAATAAACTTATTGCCAAAATATTTGTTTAATTATTAATATGAGAAATTAGTATTACGTTAACATTAACATTGGTCTAACAAATAACTGATAAAATATCATAAACCAGATATAAAAGTGATTTAATAAATTAAATATTGTTTTATTTCTAATATAAACACATGTATGTAATAAATTTATATAATATATTGTACTGTATTTGTATTATATTGTAATAAATACTGTATTATATTAAGCAAACATATAATATACATATACATTAACTAATATAGTTAAAACATAATTGAGATAAATCATAGTAAATAAATAATTAAAATATTTCTATCTAATAATAATAACTGTAAATAATATATTAATTATTATATAATAATATACTACTGTTTAGTTATAATAATTTGAATAATTTTATTATTATTATTATTATTGTCATATCATATGATTATTTAAATAGAATTTCCAATATTATAGAGTAGTCTATAGTAGTCTACAGTACTTTACTGTACTTTACTTTACTTAACTGTAATTAAAATTATATTACGAATTGCTGAGACGACAACAATGTAATAGAAGTCCTATTCATTAACTAAGTTATCATATTTAATGCTTACAATGACTGTAAAGCTTAGACTCTAATTGTAAATATGATAACTTAGTTAATGAATAGGACTTTAAAATTAACATGTATTATTATACATGTTGTCGTCTCAGGATATTGTAAAAAAATTTTATGTATAGAAATGATTATTACGTATATATTTACAGTACTTATGTTTATGTGTATTGTGTGACACATGAATGACATCATTGCAAGACATGCGCAGTAAGTGATGTAAACCAATGAAAACAAATTGCGATTACAACTGACTTTTGATTACTAATTGAAAACAAAACAAATTGTATTTCATTTGATTTAAATCGTCGTCTTTAATGTACTAATACCTGGCCATCATTTTACCGTTTGGCCATTGAGTCGGGACACTGGTTGCGGTCATCATCGGTGCCGGTCATGGAGTTCAAGAACATAGTGTTCAACGCGGCCAGAGATGGCAAACTCAGACGCCTTAAGGTATACATTAAAGTGATAATTGATATCTTCATTGTTGTTGTTGTTTTGATGACCAAATTGGGTGATCAAACAGTCACTTAAGTGATGACCACAATATGTATCCACCAATTGTCTGGTATTATCATTACAATTGCTATGACATTGACTGTTATGTCAATCATGTGATTGATTTGATTGATTGATAGCATATATGTTGTCATCATTTGTCAAATGTTTGCCAAAATATATATATATATGATATTTATTGCCATCACTTGAGCGTCAATTGGTTTTTGTTTTGTACTAATTAATGGTATTTGTTGTTAAATTTATAGCTATTTCTTGACCATCGACCCAAAGAGGAGGTCAAACTTATAGTGTCTTTGCGGACGAATGGCGCCACTCCTCTGCTAATTGCCGCCCGAAATGGTTATCTCAATGTCTTGGAGTATCTCATCGACAAATGCAATGCCGATATTGAACAGGTATTTAGTTATTTAATCTTAATGTTGAACTAATACTTTAATACTTATAAACACTTATCATATCTTTAAAGGTGGGAACTGTTAACTTTGATGGTGAATCAATAGAGGCGGCCCCTCCTATCTGGTGTGCGGCAGCAGCAGGACATTTAACATGTGTTAAGTCACTGATAACACACGGAGCTAACGTCAACAGCAAGACTAAGACAAACTCGACACCATTACGGGCCGCTTGTTTTGATGGACATATCGGTAAAGAGATTAAAATGAAATTTTTATGTCATTTATGTTTATTTATATATATATATTGTGTCCATTTATTGTACAGAAATAGTCAAATATTTAGTTGAATACGGAGCTGATATTGAAATTGCCAACAGACACGGCCATACCTGGTCTGACATTACATAAACATAATAAATATTTTGTTATAAATTTTTAATTGAATTGAATTTTTATTTCTTTTTAAAAGTTTAATGATTTCCGCCTATAAAAAGCATCTGAATATCGCTGACTTCTTGATAACAAATGGAGCTCAAGTCAACAGAAAGAGTTTTAAAGGTTTTTGTTTATTATACAAAAATAATTTATTTTTCAAAAATTGCAATCAATTTTCCTATGTTTTTAGGTAATACAGCACTACATGACTGTGCAGAATCAGGTAGTTTAGAAATAATGAAACTCTTGTTGATGAACGGCGCCATAATGGACGTGGACTCGTACGGAATGACACCATTAAAAGCGGCCGCACTTTCGGGTCACACGCCTATTGTCGAATTGATCACTTCGTTACGATTGTGTACTCAATTAGAGGCTATAGAAGCTTTAGAATTATTGGGCGCAACATTTGTCGATAAAAAGCATGACATACTAACAGCACTAACACTGTGGAGAAAGGCTCTAAACTTACGTAACTTAAGTGATAACTGTCCCATATTTAAGTTAATGTCTGAACCAAACATAGCATACGATAAAGCAGTAGAATTTACAACAGTTGAACAGTTAGACGAGTTGGCCATTGATCCCGACCTCATGAGAATGCAATCATTACTAATAAGAGAGCGTATATTAGGGCCATCACATCCCGACACTTCATATTATATCCGATACAGAGGAGCCGTTTACGCTGATTCTGGGAATTATGATCGTTGTATTCAACTCTGGATCTATGCGTTAGATATGCAGCAAAAGATTTTCGACGCATTGAATACAATGACTCAAAGTAGTCTTCTGTCATTTGTTGAGCTCTTCTCACTAATGATGTCTAAGTCTATATCAACGGTGCGCTTCTCCGACTTGTTTTCAGTGCTTCGACGGGCTATTTATGAATTGGAGGCATCAGCTGGACGTGTGGGCGCTCTCAACGATCATGACTTGACTAACTATAATCGGACCATTAATATTGTGCTCAGTTTTTTAGGACTTCTCTGTCGATTAAAGCCATTGATAACTGTTAAGCAAGACTTGCAATTAAAGACCGAAACGTATCGATTAGTTAAACTGAATCCTCGCGGCAAAAACGGTTCATCACTTTTACATATGGTCTGCAATGTCGGTGAGACTTCGTTCGCATTATTTCCCTTCTATGAGATGCCAGTGATCGACATCTGTGGACTACTTCTTCAAGTGGGACATCCGGTTGATGTGATTGACAGTGCAGGCAATACACCGCTTCATATCAGTGCGTCAGCCAAACACAACAATCCGACACAGTTTATGACATTATTGGAAAACGGCGCTCATTTAGACTATTCAAACACCACTGGGAAAGTAGCACTGGATTTGGTTCCAACTGATTCAACAAATTTATATCAATTGTCACGACTGAAGTATATAACACTTCAATGTCTTTGCGCCCAAACTATCAATAAGAATCGCATTCCTTTCAAAGGAAGAGTTGGTTTAAAATCTTTAGAGGAATTCATACAAAATCATTGATTATTTTAATGGGAAAACAAAATTAATATTTTTATCTATAATATCACTTTAATTTGTTATAATATATAATTTCTTGTTATTTTTTAATTCATCATTTAATTAGCTAATAATAATAAAAAAGGTTTTAATTATTTTATGTAAAAAAACAAAGTGTTATTAATTAACATTTATAATAAAATCAATTATATTTTAACTTATTGTAAATTTTAATAAATAATTATTTAAATAATAAAATATTGTAAAAATAAATAATTAAATTCACGCGATTTATTTTAATTATTAAAAATACATATAAATAGAAAATTTTAAATTATTCAAATCATCAGTCGGTTATAATTATTTTAATTTGATTTTTAATTTCATATAATTTTATATCCGATTTGATCGCAAAATAATATGCCATTAACTGCAGAGCAACGACAATCTTTGGCCGTCTTGGAGACAAATCTCCAACACTCACACACAACACTGCGTAGCTTAACCACTCAGAAGGCTGACCTCAGGTCAAAGGTTAACGAAAAAGACAGACAGATTGCGGCCGAGAATCGCAGAATTGAGTCTATTTTGCGACAAATGCACGAAATAAGAAACGACTAATTGATTTATTATTAATACTAAAGAATTGATTATATATTTATTTTATTTGTAAATCCAATTATTTTTCATTTATTTTTTTTTTAATTTAAAGTATTTGTTACTAAATTTTTTCTATTATTTATTTTGTATTAAATTAATTTTAATCTATGATTAAAAAAATATTTTTTTAAAACCTAAATTTGTCTAAAATATCATTTAATGGTAAAAAATCAAAGAAATTATCGTTAATTTTATGTCAAAAAACCGTTTATTTTTAAATATTAATAAATTCCGTTAAATTTTAATATAAATTATTTGAATTTAAAAAACTCACGTGAGTTTAATTTAAATATATATTATATAAAGTAATAGTAATTTTTTTTATCATCAATTGTTTTGGCAATTAGTGTACAAAAAACACATTTATTTAATTTAAAAAAATCATAATTTGATTGAAATGTTTGCCAAACAATATATGGTTTTAATTGTTATCCGTTGTCTTCATTATAATCATTAATTTGATATTAAGACACATTTAACTACAAACCAAAGTTTGTGACACCAGTTATGTCAGCACCGGTTACAGCAACGACTCTTCTTCACTGCCCAACCGTATGTCTGGACTGTCAATTGATCCGCAAAAGAGTCTGATGGGTCCCAAACCTAGTTCTTCAGCCAATACTCACGCAATAGCATCACATTTATTGAATACCTCTAACGCACCCATCGGTGGCCAACAATTACCTAATTATTTCATGACTGACGCCATTAGACAGGAATTGTTACGGAAACTGATTGTCTCTCAAGACATGGCTTCCAATGAGATGTACTTAGAGTTGCCTCAAGTGGTGGACGTTTATACCGATTTAGTGCCACTCGAGGCCAACATATCGAGTCCTTCGACAACATTTAATAACATGATTTGCAGTGTTTTCAGAGCGACGAACAGCAAAACGGGACAATTGTTTTGCTTAAGACGTCTTCACTCATTTCAGCCCAACTCAGCCAATGCTAAGCAAATGATTGCTGCGATCGACTCGTGGAAGAAGTTGTTGCACTCAAATGTTGTCCAATTGAGACAAGTGTTTACAACTAAAGCATTTGGCGATAACTCACTCATCTTTGTCTACGACTATCACTCGATGGCCAACACAATGATGAGTCATTATTTTCACTCTTCCAGTACATCCAGTTCTTCGAGTTCAATGAACGGCTACTCTGGTTCTTCGCGACCGTACAGTCAACAGCAGAGTCAACGCAAACTATTGCCGGAACCGTTGATCTGGAACTTCATTATACAGATATCATCAGCACTGCGAGCCATTCATTTAGCAGGTCTTTCATGTCGAGCATTAGATCCAACCAAAATCATCATCACTTCTGGCACTAGTAGTACAGGTTCTGCTAATTCTCAGGAATACCCGCGCCTTCGTCTCAATGGTTGCGCAGTGTTTGACGTATTGGGTAACGATTCCTATCTCAATACAACTAACCCTAAGTTAATTACACAGCACTTCCAACAGGAAGATCTCTTGTCTTTCGGTAAACTATGTCTCTGTTTGTCTACAAATAGTATAGCATCGGCGGCCAATCGCGACACGTGGCCGTCAATGTTAGAGTTGATCTCCCGGTCCTATTCAGCTGACTTACGTTCTTTGGTTTATTACTTATTGTCATATAATTCAAACTCTGGGACAACGCATACCATTAATGACATAATGCCGATGATTGGCGCGAGATTTTACACACAATTAGATACATTGTATCACAAAGAAGATTCACTAATGGATGACCTGTCAAAAGAGTTAGACAATGGAAGAGTTGTAAGACTATTGATAAAACTCGGGACAATCAATGAGAGACCAGAGCTTCAGATGGACCCCAATTGGTCGGAAACTGGTGACCGATATTTGCTTAAATTGTTTAGAGATTACTTATTCCATCAGTTCAGTGAAGATGGCCGTCCGTGGCTTGACTTAGGACACATGATATCAAATCTGAATAAACTGGACGTCGGCTCACCCGAGAAGATATGTCTCATCTCTAGAGATGAACAAAACATTCTTATCGTTTCATTTGCTGAACTCAAGCGCTGTTTCGAGTCATCACTCAATGAACTAATGCTTTAATTGATTGATTGATTGGACACAAGAGTTGTAAGATTTAAGATATATTTTTTGAAAATAACAAATCATTGAAAAATGTTTATTAAAAAAACAAAAATTATTATTATTATTACAAAACGTGTATTTAATCAAATGATGTTATTTATAATTATTTTATTGTAACTTAAAAATCCAATTAATGTCAGTTTATTTTGTTTTATCTGAAAAATTATGCGAATATATAAATATATAAATATATTGATTATATTTGTTTACAATTACTTGAAGTACAATCTTATTAAATAATAAAAACAAAATCTATGCATAATTTATTCTAAAACAAAATTAAATTGTATTTTAACTTTTAAAAAAAATAAAAATTGATTAAAAAACTAATAATCTCTATAATAAATATTTCATTGATCAATACTAATAATTAGTTGATTTAATAAAAATGTACAAAAATTTGGATGTTTTAAAATTTATATTAAAATATGTTATTTTTATGGAAAGTTTTAACAATTAATAATAATTACCTGTAAGCTAAAGTTAGTTAGAGAAAAGATACATTTAAAAGTTACCTAGAATAAATTGTAAATTGTGAAAATATAAAACAGTATCTATGCATAATTTATTGCAAAACTAAATTAAATTGATTAAAAAAATTACTTTAATAAAATTAGTTTAAAAAATTCTAATATTAATTTAGAATTTTAGTTTAAATTCCTAACAAAATTCTTCAATTATTAATTAAAAATTCACATGATTTCATAGTTACTCAGTTAGAATGGAAAATATATTTAAAATTTTTAAAATAAATAATACTAAAAATTAATTTTTTGTATTAAATTTTATTGAAATATTTAAATATAAATTCAATGAATTTATTGATACTATTTAATAATTACACTCAAAATACTGTTTAATGCAATGATTGAGTGAATTTGTCTGAACCCTAATTATTATATTGTATTTTATATTTGTTTTGTAAAATGTTTTTGTATGTAACAACAACTTTATACTGTATCGAACTTTTATTAGTTATTATTGAAGATTGTCTTAATTTATCATTAAATGCTATAAATATATCTGTTTAATATATTTGTCTTAAATCAATATAATGTCATAATATTTCATAAAATACAGTTTATTACAATTTCTAAATTTATTTATTATTTATTGTCTTTAACAAAACAATACTAATTTTTTTGATTAATTAAATAATTATCTATTTTTTAGTTATTTTTTTATTCATTTACAAATAGTATTTTTTAAATTAAATTTTATATTAAAATAAATTATCAAAATTTAAAGATGATTTATTGTATAAAACAAATTGATAGCAAATATTAGTTACACAAATTGATGTCCTTCAATAAAAATTATATAAATTGTTGCCATAAAATTTATATATATTGTATATAAATTGATCACTAAATTTTTAAATAAATTTATTACTAAATAACTGAAATATTTGAGACGAATTACAACAAATTTGTTTTTTTTATAACAACACAAAAAATAATGGACAGGTATTATGTTATTATTATTAATGATAATTCAAATTAATTAATTTATATTGTATTCTATATGCTATTATACTGTATATATTAATACAAATATTATTATTATAGTCATAAAGTTATAGATCTGCGATCGGATACAGTGACCAAACCGTCAGCCGATATGCGAAAAGCCATTTACGAGTCAGTTGTCGGCGATAATTGTTATAATGAAGATCCCAGTGTCACAGGTATAGATGTTTTTATTGGAAATAATTAATTTATATATATATTTACTCTAATTTTATTATATTGTATTTAAACAAGAATTGGAAAAACTGGCCGCAAAACTGGTCGGTAAAGAACGGGCATTGTTTGTGTCTTCGGGAACAATGTCTAATCTGGTCGCAGGTATGTTGTTATTATCAATCATATTATATAATATTTTTCTCATTTAGTTTGATTGAGTTATTATATTTTTAAATAATTATTTATTTATATTTTTTTGTTTGTTTACTTAAATATATTCAAGTGATGACACATTGCTGGGAAAGAGGTTCAGAAATACTATTGGGTGATCAAGCACATATACATATTAATGAACTAGGTGGAATTGCTAGTAAGTTTGTTTTAAATCAATTTTTTGTATTATTATAGACTATAATTAATTCAAATTATATGACTGAATAAATATTTTTTTTGTTGATAATAGTATTAATTTTAACTATTACTGTATATTAAGTTTTTAAAGTGTTTTTTTTCATATAAGAGTTTTTTTACAATAAATAGACAAAATTGTATAAATTTTTGTTATATTTTGTTGTTTACTAAAATGATGTCAGCCGTGGCCAGTGTCCATCACCGTACTTTGACCAACAACAGTGACGGCACATTCAGTATCGATGAATTGGTGGCTAAAATCCGTAATAAAGGCGTTTATCCAAACCCTACACTAATATGTTTGGAAAATACACACAATATATGCAACGGATCGCCACTTCCTCTTGAATTCATTGATGAGGTTTTTATCATTTATTATTTTATAAAAACTTACATATAGTATATATATATATATAGCATATAAAACATTTTTTAAAATTAATAGTTATTAAATAGAAATATTATTTATTTAATAAACAAGTTTTCAAATCAGATTAAAATATTAACAAAAATAAAAATTTATTAAAACTTATAATTTTTACTTTTCAAATATGTCAAAAATTATTATCATCAAAAATATTTTTTTGATAATAATAATAATTATCATATCAACAAATAAACACATTTTTAAATCAATCGATTTACATATTGATGATTAAATTTAATATTACTTAATAAAAACAAAAAAAATTGAAACAACAGGTTTGTCGTATAGCAAAACAACATAATCTGAGTGTCCATATGGACGGCGCCCGTATATTCAATGCCAGCCTCAAGACTGGCGTACCGGTGCCCAGAATCCTAAGAGATTGCGATTCCGTATCTTTCTGTTTATCAAAGGTTTGTCATAATTATGTAAATAATATATAATAAAAAAAACATTTTATATCAGGGTTTGGGATGTCCAGTAGGTTCACTGCTATGCGGATCCAATGAGTTTATTGAACGGGCCTGGATATGCCGATACATGTTGGGCGGTGCTATGCGCCAGTCGGGCATTTTGGCCTCGGCTGGACTTTACGCTCTTAACAATAATATCGATAGATTGGCCATTGACCACAAACACGCTCTAATGATTTCATCGGGTATTTTATTAATTGATAATATATTTGTTGTTGATTAACGACACACCTAAATTGATTTTCAAAAAATAAATTTTTGTTAGCAATTGCCAAACACGACAAAAGTTATATTAGAGTAACTGTTAAAAACATTCATACAAACATCGTTTACATTACTACTGATCCCAATTGGATGACTGGACCACAATTTGTTAATCGATTGAATACTGTAAGCTTTGACATATATATTGTATATATATATTAATAAAAATATGTTAAGATTGTTAAATTATATAAATTATAAAAATATCTTAATTTAAAAATATCTTAATCCATCATCAATGATTAATTTTAGAAAAAAGTAGTAATATTAAAATAAACTAATTATAACGGTTTGTTTGCAAATATAGTAGTATCATATGGTATATTTATTTTTGTTTATATAGAGTAAAAATAAAAATTTTAATTTAGTAAAACTAACTCATATATTTGTATATACTATATATATATATAGTATGATAATAATTTTTGCCCCAAAAAATTCTAATTAATTTATTGATTTTAAGATAATTATTAAAGAAAACTAATTATTTATTTATTTTTTGTTAATTATTAATAATACGAATAACACAGATAACTGAAGAGGAAAGGACTGTTTTAGGTGATCGTTGTGTTGTCGTCAAAATGGGATCAAGAAGTGCCACTAAAATACGTTTCGTCACCCATTTAGACATCACCGCCGATGACATTGAACTGGTGATTGAAAAACTCAATTTTATTATTAATAACAACAACCAGTAAATTGGTTTATATGTATACCTGTTATAAGCTATTACGATATTATAACATAATTTTTTGTAATTATGTTTTTTTGGTAGCAATTTATTATTTCAATATAAATATATATTTTTTTGAATTTGCAGTTCACTATATTCTGTGTTATATTATTATATAGTTATTAACATTTTTTATGCATCATCTGACACACACACACACACACACACACACACATACATACATACATATATACATACACATACATACACACGATAACTAAAACATTAAACATGTAGTTTATTATATATATTTTAATTTTTTAATATATAAAGATTAAGACGTTAAAATGACCGATATTTTAAAATTATTGTAATTTCAATAACTAATTATAGTCTCCAATAAATATATATATATTATACTATATTTTTAATAAAATTATAATTGATGTTTATATTATTTTTATTATACCTAAATATATGTTATATTTAATTTTTTTTAAATATATTGTTTAATAATTTATTATATTATTAGTATATTATTATTATTGAACTAATATTTCATTACTTAAAAATGATGCTAATGTTAAAAACTAAATCATAATAATCAATGGGTCTCAAAATTATAGTCTTATGAAATTTAATTCAACGCTATATTATTTTTAAGTTCATTAATGAAAATTGGGATCAAATACACAGTAATAGCGCATAACATATATGATATAAAACCTAATACTGTTTACCGAAAAAACATTTAAAGATTATTTGAAGTGCACTTAATTTATTTTAATCAATCAATTAGAGGATAATTATTAGACACTCGACTATTTAGTTGCAAAATAAATAAAAGGCTAATTTTGAACAAATAAAAAGGTCAGCAATTTTTTTCAATAAAAAACAGGTATTATCTTTATTGTATGACATTACAAGGTTTTTTTGTATATTTAAAAAAATAAAGTTTTTATATACAATATATAAATAACTATTCAATTAATAGGGAATCAAAAGATTGAAAATTAACGCATGACTGATGTCATGAATATGCCATCAATTTATGCCAATTGTCTATTACTGTAATAATTTGTTGTATTCAAAAAAGCATTAATTGATAGGAAAGATATACTTAAATAAATAGCTATTTATTTATTTTATTATTTCTTACCCCAAAATAATGGAACTTATGTTACACACTGTTTGTCGTTTAGTTGTAATTGAAATATACTGTACTATAACATATCGGTATAAATTATATTAAATAACAATAAAACGATATATAAAAAACTTCAAAGATGTTATATGACATTTACTTTATAGTTAAATAATATTATTATAAAATCACATAAAAAACAAAATAATATACTAATATTATTATAATAATTATATACTGTATAATAGTTTTTATTGTTTGTTCCGTTAAAATATGTAATTTGAAATAAATTGTATGATTTATATATATACTGTATATAATATACACTTATTTAATAAACAGTAAGTCTTTAGTACATTACTGTAATAATAATAATAATATTATTTCATATTATAAATTAATTTTATTTGTTTTTTTACTTAGTTCCTATATTTTGATGGAAAAAATATACTCATATTTTCATTTTAATTGTGTATAAAAAAATGTTTTTTTTTTGCTTATAATATTTTGTGTGCGGAAAATAATTTACAGATAAATATTAAAGAAAAAAGTTATTTGCTATATATTATTAGTATATAATCTAAAAAATCATTTATCATTTATTTATTTATTAATTTGTATACTGTATATTCTCTGTTATTAATATTAATACAATTAACAAATTGCATAAACATTATTATTATTATTATTATTACTTCATTGGTTGAACTAAACTATAAAAGTTGATAAATAAGTTTTTGGTTATAAAATTTTTAAATAACTGCGAAAACAGTTAACAAGTCATATATAAGAGTCATATTTATGAATGACCCGCAGGTAGTACGTGTCCAATGAGCTAATTCAGGTAATATACCACTTGTTAGGTCTGTCCGCTAATATATACAGTTAATACTGTATGTATGTATGTTTAGGGCCAGTCATCCAATAATTTTTTGTTGCATTCATAGGGTATTGCATTCCAGTGCTTCTCATCATTCCTGAAGTCCATACTTTTAATATATACAGTAATATTAAAGCCTTTTTCTGAGTCAACCATTAGCTCTGGGCTTAAGATTTAAAGTTTTTTTTGGTTTATTTCACTCTTCATTCTTCAATCGTACTGAAGAGTCAACTATTTGTTGAATCAAATCATAAGGAGAGAGAAAAACTTGTTTCACTCCATGCTATTACATGAGGGGAGAGATTACTACGGTATACCCTACTGTAGTATAGTAAGTGTCTGTCTATGTTAGAGCACAGGTAGTAGTAATAGTAGTAATATTAGTTGTTGTGTTCACCGAAAAGACAGGTTTTGCGCACAGTTTTGCTTTTGACTGTTCAGAAAAACGGCTCAAAAATGCTTTTGAAATATATTTGAAACGCAAACTCAAAAGCTAGCGTTCAAACGAGTTATAGTACTGACTGTACATACCATTCCCATTGCCTACCTGTGCCCCTATCACTATCATCACCAGCCAAACATAGAGACAACTGCTATATTATTTTGGTTGTCAAGACTTATGATTTTAGTTTTGTTTTCCTCTTCTTCAGCAGTTTTTACCATAAATATTGTGAAATATATTGTCATATAATTTGGTCGATCAGTAGATGAGATATATATGTGTGGATTAGTCACGAGTTATGACATAAAACGGCATAAAAAGTAATCCGATATTTGAAGTGAAAGACGAGGACCGGCTGTTGTGGTGAAGAAGCCGTTCCTTTCTATTGTTTGTCTCTCTCTTTCTCTCTTATAGTGAGTGTATTGTAAAGTAATAGTAATTGCATTGAAAAACTCGCTTAAACTTAGCTCTACCTAAATAACAACAACACTCTACTCATCAAATAAAGTTATTATTGGTGTTCATACTTGTGCTCATCTGATACCAGTTCGTAAACATACAGAAACACCACTAAAATGGCCTGTTCTGCAGTCACTCTATCGGTGGCCACTATTATATCAGTGGTGGCCGTCGCCTGTCTGTCCATTGGATTCAGTACTGACAACTGGTATGAGATAAGGGTTGACAAGAATAAGACAAAGCTATACATTGAGACACACGAACTGCAAACTGATTACGAAAAAGACTATCGATATTATAGTAGAGATGAAGGACTCTTCCGGATCTGTTTCGCAGAAAAGAAAGCCAAAGAAGGTATCCATTCATATATATATACCTATTAAACATAATATTCAATATATCTTATGTTGCAATCATTTTATTCAATATATCATATATGAAATTTGAATAAAAACTCTTTATATTATATATCAGTAATAAAAGACTAATAATAATAATAGTAGTAATATATCATTAAATGAAGATTTTTATCACTTTTATTGAAAAATATTTTTTTAGAAACAATTTTATTTTTAATATAATACAACATTAATAGCTTTTTATTTTATTGTTGTTTTATTTGAAGAACACATAATTATTGCTAATAATTATCACTATATCCTTGGATTTATTTATTAAACAGCTATAGTTGTTAAGGTATTTTATATGTATACAAAAAAAAGTTTTTAAGCCATACATAGAGATTAAGATTTTTTTTAAATAAAAAAAATAATTATTTGTATAATATCAGTGTTAAGGATAATATACAGCTCCATATAAACGCCCGATCAGGTTATGTCTGTGCAATTTGTTAGGCATTCCTTATTAATACACATTTCCTTTTTTAAACTTTTAAAAAAGTTTTAGTTAAACCTATAATTATTCAATAATTATAATATTTATTTCGTTTGATTTAATATTCATTATCCCATTTCTAATGGGATTGAATTATATAAAATTTTTTTTTAAATGTATTCAAATGTTAGTTAAATTTTGTTGATAAACTTGTCCATAGTTTGGAGTAATTTGAAAATATTTGTTTAAAATTTTGATGTAAACATCATAAATCAATAGTCTCTCATCGAAATCACAAAAATCATTGTTTATATATCAATAATATTTTTTTCACGACATTACACTATATATACATTATATTGAATATATATATATTTATATATTTTTTACATATATTTATACATGAAATTAGTAAACATTTTGCTTATATGACCCCAAAAACTATTCAATTTTGGTGTCGTTTAACACAAGAAAACGAGACGATGAGAAAAATATGCTTAAAAAATGCCGAAAATAAATACTGTTTATAAATATAAATTATATACACACACTTTAAAGTTATCTGATTAGTCAAAAAATAAATTGATATTTTAGGCACACATCAGATGGCTTTTTCAATAAAAAACATAATTTATAAAAAAATTAATGAATTTGTGACTTCAATTATATGGCTATTAATGCATAAGATTTCTCAGGAATTTTCTCAATAAATTCGATAATTTATTTAAATAGGACTACAATTCTTACGAGTATTTTAACTAAAGTATAAAAATTATATATCCATTAAAAAATCATGTGTACGGTATGACAAATAAAATGTTTTATAAATTTTAAGTGAATATACTCTACATGTTTTTCTATAGCAAAATTGGAGCAAATGTTATATAATAATAATAATAATGAATTAGGAAAAATTTTTATATTTTAACAAAAATAAAAAATGTTTCATAGACAGCAAAATCATTCAAAAAAACTAAATTAGTTTATCTTATATAAGTTTTTTTTATTATTATTTAGTTTACTTTTCAATTATATTTTTTAAATATTTATTTATTTAGTTATCATTATTAAAGTTCAAACACATTTAATAAAATAAAATAGCAAAAAAATCAAATGTGTTTTCGCTATTGTTTTTTTGTTACTTTTTAATCTTTTGATTCACCGAAACGTACATATAGTATATACAGAATATGGTGTTAATTATTTGAATTTTATTTTAAATACATGAATATAAAACTAAATATTATTTTGATATGCATTTGATGTGTTAACTGTAATATCTTTTAGTGTCACATCTATACAGTAGATCTATTGTACTAAAAACTTTACAAACAAATTATTGTACAACTTATATAAACACACACACATATATATATAGTAATATATAACTTATATTATTACCATTTTTTGTCTATTCCAGTGCCCACCTACCTGTCCCCCACGCAAACTGAATGCTTTAATATCGACTATTATATACCTGAAAATGAAATCTCCGATAAATTCAGTGATCAACGATGGGAACGATTACGTAAGTCTCTTAACTATAATACTGTATATCTATTGAAAGTCTATTATTTTAATTCATTTTCATTTTAGTTTTATTGTTATTTACTGAATGACTGCAAAATGCAGTATTATATTTATTTTAATTTAATCATATTGTGTTTATATTATGACTATTATGAAAAACTTATACTGTATTTACAGTATATATATACTGTACACACTTTATTGTATTGTATATACTGTACATTATATCTAATTGTCATTTTTGAATAGATAACACATATATATATGATTATTCAAAAAGTGAAACACATTATATCATTGACCAAAAAATTTGGCCCAATTTTTGTTGGACTAACAAATGTCGCTAAAATTATTATTATTATAATATACAGTGTTAATTATATTACTCATCTCTCTCTCTCTCTCTCTCTCTCTCTCTCTCTCTCTCTCTCTCTCTTTCTCTCTCTCTCTCTCTTATGCCTGTTTTTATGATAATTTGTAGACAATGTTACATAAAATTATTATATATGTTTAAATTCAAGTCAACCACATGTGATATCTTTCAGGAAGACTAAAAACAGTCAAAATGTTTATTAATAATAATAATATAAATTATATTAATGTTTAGTCGACAACAACAACAAAAATCTTTTATTTTAAGTCATTGGCCACCAGTTGTTGTGTAATCCATATTAATATAAAATTTATATATTTATAACATATCTCTATAATAATGTTAAATTAGTACATTTATAGTAATTAAATTAATCTATTTTGTAAATTAAAAATGGTTTTAAATAATTATTTCTATTCTATGTTATAATAACCAATTAATTTATAATAACATATCATAACTTATAAACATTTGTTCAATACTTTATTAATTAGTTTATTGTCTTTGATTTTTTTTGTATATTGAAAACAAGAAACATAAATCAAGTTTTCATTAATACAATAATAATATGATTAACAAATGTTTAATTTTTGTTATTTTAACACCACTTTTTTCAATCGATTAAAATGATACGATATGTCGGTCATTGACATATCGTGTCTTTATTTTTATTATTTGCTATTATTGTTATTAAATCGACGCCTCAATAGATTTGATCAAAAGGAGAGAAAAGTTTACTTAAATATTTTTTATGCCATATATTTTGTTATATATAACCGTCCAATAAAACAGTTATACAATATACCTGTACTACTGTATAATAATAATAATAATAATGTTTATACAATTATAAGTTGTAAAACAAACGGTTTATTACAAACAGTATCGACACAAACTTGCAAATCATGCGGACATTGCAATCAATGCCAACAAAATTTTGTTATATAAATATAATATCAGTGCAAAAATAATAATAAAAATCATTGACTGATTGGTTTGCACTACTTTTTTTAGCTTAAAGTTTTCTACTACTGTATAAGTTTCCAACGCTTTTATTATAACATTTAATTATATTTTTTTGCCAAATAATAATAATAATAGCCGATGAATGAATGACTAAATAAAATTAACGGCAAAAAATTTTAGGGTTGCATTAGCTTTAAATAACTTACAGTTAAAATATTAAATTGTGTAATAAGTCTGGCATTGATTTAAGTGGTCCCTAAAGACATGTATTGAATAGCTGTTTGGGAAATATATTTATTTATAACTATTTAATATTAAAACAAATCAGTTATTTAATGTTATATATATTTTAAGGCGAAAACATTTTTGTTTCTGATAATTAGTTTATGTAAAATATAATATATTAAGATTTTTTTACTTATATAGATTTTTTATATACAGAAACTGTATACTGTCATAGATACTGATATTATTTGTTACATTAATAATTATTGATAAAATTACTACTTATTTTTTTGGAAACTAATTTACCTATTTTTTTATAAATGTTTACATTTACTATATTTTTTGTGTTCAAAATAACATCAAATTTTATAATTTTTTAATATTTATAATTTAAATAATTTAATTTTATATAATAAAAATATTAATAAGTTTATTAGATTAGGAAATATAATATATATAATATTTTGATGATGATAAATTATATGCATTCATTAAAACAAATGATTATTTATTAAAATAAATGTTTTATATTTCATATCATATATACATTTATTGAGTTCATCCCTCAAAATTATTTTTAAAAAGGTGTCATTTTTTGGAGGTTTAATTCACTGTAATTACACGCTTTAACTTTTTTTTAAAAGAGGCAATACATCTCATCATATCCGGGACATCAAAAATGACTTGAAATAAATGTCTCTCAAAACTAGTATCTCATAAAAATGTATTTTCAAAAAAAAACTAATGTCTTTAAAATTTTAAATGAAAAAAATAGTAATTTTCAATTTACTAAATAATATTTTTTATTTATATTTTAACAGACCTTGGTTAATAGAAAAAAACAAAACAAAATTCATTATATATGAATTTATTTAATATTATAGAAATTTTTTATATTTATTTTTGAAAATCAATTTATATAACTTAAATAAATTTTTTATATTATATTTTATTTTGATAGTAAACTCAGTTAACTATAATCTAATTTTACTTATTGTTTTATAATTATATTATAAAAAATCAAGTATTAAATTTAATAGCAGTTAAATTTATATTATTTTTTTATGTCTGACTGTAATATTTGATTTTATTTTTACCTATTGATAGAGACTGAATAATATCACATTTAATTATAAAATGCATAATCAAATATACAGAAGTCATTAAAATGAGCTTAAAATTTGTAAATTTTTAAATAAATCTATAGCCTTAAGTGATTGATAGGATATATATATATAATATATTTAAATATATTGATAAGTGTTTTGATTATCATAGGGTTGAGAGACTTGTGTGTCCAATGAGACGGACGGGTCGGTCAATGTCTTCTCCAAGTGAGAGTTATTGCCATTTAGGGTCATTGAACTTATATATTATATATAATAAATTTTGTATAAATCATATGTATAACTAAAAACCTATCGTTCCTCTCCATCATTATTATCATAACCATAATCATGATAATCACCTTTGAATGGATTATTTAAAATATAAAGTACAGTATATACTATACACGTAATACTGTATATATATATTGTACTGTAGTTTCACTAAACATTTAAGCCTTTTATGAAAATAACAGTTAAATACAATTTGTATTCAAATTTATTGTTTATTCAGTTGGTTTCACTGTCTTTTATTTAGCAGTAAATTACACACAAAAAAACATGCAATAACTTTATCATTAAGTTAACATTTGTCGCTTTTTATTATTATTATTATTTAACTTTTAAGCATATGTTTTATGTTGTTTTTTTTGTTGCATTTTAGCTAATAATTTTACATTAACTTATAATGAGTATATCTAATGGCAGTACAAGATTTCGATTAAGACAAACTGCTTATTTAAATTGATCGCTAATTTAGTATACAATTAATGATTCATTAAAACAAAACTATCGATTAAGGATTGTTTCAAAAGATTTTATTAGACATGTATTGTATATACAGTATATATATGACATAATCGTTATTAATATCTTAAGGTTATGTGTGCTAAGTCATTGAAAAATTATATTTAAAAAAACAACTTTTAAAAATGTTTAGCTTAAATAAGTCATAACACTATAGACGTATTACAAAGTTTTTTTCCAAAGATATGAAATTTTTCTCACAATTACTTTGTTTTTAATTAACAATTTAGATGTAATTATTATTATTGTTGTTGTTGTTGACAACAATCCATTGGTGTGTAATCCATGTGTTTTTTGTTGTAATATTAAAAAAATCAAATCTACTGTTTCATCATTTAATTTTACGCTCACTTTGATTATTCATTTTGTTATAAAATGTTTTTTTAATTTGAATAATTTTATATAAAAAAAATCTGAAACACTATGATTAATTATTATGTAACTAATATTATTATAATAAAAATTTCCCATGATTTTTATTTTGTTCTGGGTCTTTTTTTATTACTATTACTTTATAAAGTAGTAATAATAATAATTTAAATAGAGTTCAAATAGATTGTGTGGCCATCCCTGACCTAAATAGACTTAGATTGTTATATTAAAATACACAGAAAAAATGTTTTGTTTAAAAATAAGCAAATAAATTATTGAAATAAAAATATTTTTTAAAAATATTAATTATTTGTTGAATTAAATATGAACTTATTTATTAATTTTAAGAGCAAATATAGTTTATCGATTACATTAAAAATAATAATACTAATAAATAAATAAATTCACATTCAATAAGTTTTGTGCTTTAAATAAAGTTTAATGTTTTATAAAATATTAATAGAAAAACAAAGCAAAAATAAAATAGTTTTTTATTTTGTTAAAAATTAAGTCTTCAGTCAAATAATCATTAAAAAACAAGAAAAATATTAGTTATTTTAAACACGACTTAATCTTTTGACAATAATAAATATATATATATTTAATGAATAATGATTTTTTAGTAATTATTTTTGATTTCTTGCAAACATCATTACAATGAGCATTGAATTGTAATTTATAATTTTATTATTTATTTTTGTTAAACTAAATACTTAATAATAATAATAATAATACAATTGATATTTTAAAGTTAAATAGTTGTTGTTTTTGTTGTTATATCCAGATATGGCCCGATCGGTGGTCGCCTTATATATCGTCGCCTTTTTCTTCTTGTTTTTGTCTTTCTTCACTGGAATCGCAGGTAAATACCAATTGAATAAATATTTTATTGTTTGGTCTCTTAAAAAGCTATTTATATAAATATATATTTAATTTTTAAGGTTAATATGTTTTTTTTGTTGAAAACATACACATAAAATTATATGTGAATAGCAAATATTTGTGTTAACCTCTAGTTTTAAATAATTTGAAAAACACTGTCCTCTCTCTCTCTCTCTCTCTCTCTCTCTCTCTCTCTCTCTCTCTCTCTTCACATAAGAGATTTAGATTTAGTTGACCTTAAAATACATTTAAATATATCATATAATAATAATATATTTTTAAATGTACTGTATACACATAATTAGTTAGATATTATACCTATATATACAGTATATATATAAATACTTAAAAACATATTAATTGTACTATATAATGTAAATTTAAACATCTATTATTATTATTATTATTATTGCATTACCAATTTCTATGAGATATAATTATAATGAGATTTTTATTATTTATAATTATTAATATATAAATTTCAAAATAGCCAATAGTAGAATACATAAAATTTTATTGAATAGTGTTATGCATATAATCTCATTAGTCAAACACGAATATCAAATAAAAATATTATAAAAATTAATTTACAGAAAGTTTACTGATTATATAAACTTATATAATATTTATATAAATATATATTAATATTATTTGAATATATCGTTTGATAGGCTGTTGGAAGAGATCGCACGCAAACCTGGTCTCCACCGGATTATTGCAACTCTTAAGCTGTAAGTCTTAACATAAAATGCTAATTAGTTATCAAAAAATACCGGTGTATTTAAACACATACCGCTGTATATCAGGTTTATCTGCATTTTTCATTAAATTAAATAACAAAACTTAACATTATTTTTGTTGTATTTATTAGCACTTATGGATGCCGGTGCTATGGGTCTGTGGCACGCCGTCCAGTTTTATGATCACCATAAGCTCAAAGACCAATACTCTTACGCTCAATGGCCGGATGTAATTACAACACACATCACAAATAATATTAATTGATTTAAAAAAAATAAACTAATAATATATTATCTCTATTTGTTTGATAACTTTGAACAGGTCCTCAAGCAGACAGGAGTGACCGAATTTTACTACGGTTGGTCATACATCCTGGCCTGGATCGGTATCTGCCAGTGTCTCATCTCTTCCATCATGTTTTTGTCAGCTGCCCGTTGTATACGAAATGAGAAACGCATTGAACAGTCCAAGAATATGCAGTACTTGATGCCGGTATATCCAGACAAGAGAAACCCATACGGTGTCAACTATGCCTACGCCTATCCCGGGCCATACCATTATCACGGTTCACAGTATGGTATCGGTCCATACGCCTATTAAACAAACAATATGATGCCTATTGCAAGAAAAATAGCAAACCTCTTTGAGTGCCTACATTAGTTTATGTAATAATTATTATTATTATAATAGTAATAGTAATAATTGATAATAAATTAGTTAATAATAATAATAATGCAAAATCATATAATTGTAACTAATTGTTAGCCATTTATATAATGCATTTTATACTCACACATGAAATGTAAAGAAAAAAGTATTTTTTTGTTTATTTGTTTGTATTTTCTTTCTCATCACTCAATTGTAACAAATAATCATCACTTCATCACCAAATCGTTCATCCATTTCATAAACCTTGATATCACTGACCATCTTATTGATAGTCAGTTATATATAAACTCATTATTATTATTATTTATAAATTTTTTTCTGGTGTTTTAGCGTTAATCACATTTTTTATTAATTCATAAATATTATTATAATTAATGCTGATTTATATAAAAAAAATTTTATTATTGTATAAAATTATTATATAAATTATTTTTTATTATTATTATTATTGTATGTACGAGTGCTTTGAATTGATTAACCAATTGTTTGTAATTATGGTTTGGTTTTAGGACAAATGTGATCTTTCAATCAAATTTTTATTTAATTTTTCTATGAGTTTTTTTTTAAATACAAAGCGTATAACATTTTTAAATAGTAATATTTCGTAATATTTTATTATAATTTACAATTCAAATGAAATCAATAAAAAAAATTATTAAATGAAAAACTGAAATTATATATTAAATTTAATATAAATAGACATTGAATTGAAGCGTTTATAAATTAATAGCAATTTATATGCAAAATGAATTTGAAATATTTTGAAAAGTGATAAAATGTATAAATATTATTATTATAATAATAGATTGTAATGGTTTGTCGATTATTTTAATTCACGATTTTATGTATTCAATCTTGTATTACGACAATAGATTGAAAAACATATTCAATAAAAGCCCATCAAAAGTGATAACTATTGTAATTGAAATTGATGGGCTTATTAAGCATTAGCTATTTAAATAATTTATTATTATAATTATTATAATATGTTATTTTAATATTTTAATAATAATCCTGTTTTATTACTACTACTAGATAATAATAATAGTTTGTCGACAAAACTTTTAACAAACATTTTTATAAATATAATACAAAAACGTAATGAACAAAATAATTTAGATTAACATTTAGTTTTTAAATATTTGATTGCAATTGATTGATATTTTTTGTTTACGGATAGTTTAAGTATAAAATATTAATAGATTTTATTAATAAAAGCATTTTTTATATAATTTTAATTAAATTATTTTCAGAAAAATAATAATTTTAAATTTATTTATTATATGATAATTTGATTTTATAATAATTTTTAAAAAATATTTTTAAATGCTATTAATTTATTATAGTGAAATTAATAATCAACTGAGAAATTGTGTTAATTATTAGTTTAAAAATAATTATCAATTTTAATTATTTCAAATATTATATCATATAAAGTGAATTAATTATGAAAACAATTTATTCAAAAAAAAATCTTAAATAATTTTTAAAGTAATAAACGGTTTCACTTTAAAAATAGCTTTTAATAAATAGTTTATTTTAATATTTTATATAATATTTTCCTTAATATCCAATCAATTTATGTCTTTAGGTAATATACTTAACTCAATGCCAGACATTATTATTCAATTTAATTATATTTTTGTTTTGTTTAAAATTAAGATAAGTCAATGCAATCAAAATTTTTATACAAATAAAAATCTATTTAGTTATCATTGAGTGAGTATTATTTGGGCAAAAATATTATAATATAATTAAATATAATAATAAAATCATTGAAAAACTTATAATTTAAGAAAAAGGAGAGCAAACCAATCAGTTATTGTTTTTTTTGGTCCGATATTTATATCATAAAATATATGATTCATACATGTATATCAAATAATACAATATTTAGTTGGCATTGATTTGTAAGTTTTGCATGACTTGCTAATAGACTTTCCTATGACATACAGGTGCCGCCTAATGACACACACTGTACAGGAATTGATGATTAGATATAAATAGATGGATATATTAGACAGTTTTAGTCTATTAGACACTATTAGAAACTTCCAAATTGATTAACTTCTATTACATTATCATAAGTATATACTTTTAGTATATTTGTTATAACTTATAACTTCATCAATTTTTTTACAAATATTGAATAATTTTTACATAAATACTTTAGGAATTTCCTTAATAGTGACCCAAAATTCACAATTCATTACTACATATACTGTCAAACTTGACAATACTTGTAATTGTGATTGGTCATTTTTAAATATATTAAATGTATGATTATCACACTGTATTGTATAGTATAATTGATTTAATGGTTTCTAAACAAACATACTAAACACGTTAGCCAAACGTGTGTGTAATTGGTTGGGTGGGGTCAGGGACATTAATATCTGATAGACTAAATATTGATATAAATCTTATATCAACATTTTAACATAAAAAATCTACAAACATATAGTATTATATTTATAATTTAATCAATTAGTCATTTTGTTTTGTTTGATGGTATAGTTGGTCTAGAGATGGCCAAAATAGAAATTTATTATATTTCTAGTAAATTTCACAGAAATAAATTTTTCTATAAATTTTACTTTAATATCAATATTATACTATGGGATTCCTATATATATATATATATATAATTAATATTATTTTCTATTATATTTTAAATTTTATTTATACTTCATTAATATTCTTAAGATTTTAATACCTGTATAATGTAATTAAATGAATTATTTGTTTGAATATTAATAGAAACACTAATATTAATAATATTTACTTATTGTTTGTATTTATTATTATTCCTGTTACCAGATTACAAAAATTGAAAAAAACTAAATTAACATTCCAGAAACAGAAATTTCTTATAGAAACTTTCTAGAAATTTCCCTATTATTTTAGAAATTTCTCATTTTTTGCAAACTAAGTTGGTCACCTATTAATATTATTAGTATTATAGTTGGTGAATTAATGATATTAATTTAAGATAATTGTTTATTGTCATTTTGAAATTAAATATTTATAAATTTTGTTGTTGTTATAAATAATTTTAATTTGTATAATAATGTAATTTATTTAAAATTATGATTTCTAGGTATTTTTCTCTAAAACACTGCAATTTCTAAACAATTTCTAAATACATGAAAAATATTATATTTTATTGTGTAACAAATTATTTTAAATATCAAATATTTGAATATAAAAATAATTACAAGCTATTGAATAATTTAAATTTATATAAATATATACTAAATAATATAAGCAAATGATCATTTTGAAAAAAATATTTATATATATAATTTAGTAATTCATTTTAAAAATATAAATTTATATAGTTTTATTATGCAATTATAATACAAAAATATATAAATATTGATAGATATAAATTAATGGGTCGATATTGTATAAAGCAGTTTGTTTAAAAAAAAACATTTGTGTAAAATTTATATATATACAGTATATACTATGCTATAAATTAACTGTTGTTATTGTACTGTCTATATGAATATACAGTAAGTTTATAATAACTTTTAATAACATATATGGTTATTTAAAATTTACTAAAAAACTTTTTCTTTGTATATATATTTTTTGATCAAATCTATACTAATATAAAGGCGTCGATTTAATAAACAATAATAGGAGATAATAATCAATGACCGACATTACAATATCGTATTCAATCGGATTGTTAAACTGGTGTTAAAATGGAAAAAATTAAAACATTTTTAATCATATTATTATTAATTATTATTATTATTATTATACTAACTAGACTTTTTTGCTTCGAGACAATATATTATATAATATTTTATAATAATTAATAAAGCTTTTAATATTCAGGAAAAGACTTTTGTTTTATTATTATTATAATAATATTATTATTATTACAATAAATTTTATTATATGGATTGCTAAACACCTTAAATTGTTGGAAATAATTAATTTGCAATTAATGATTAGGTGAATGACAGTGTTAATGTGCTAATATTTTGTATATTAAATAAATATAAATTAAGTACACTATATATTTCTTATAAATATATCATATTATATAATTATAAGTGATGTACATTATTTGACTTTTTAAAAAATTTGTTTAAATAACTTATTGTCAAAACATTGTTAATCGGCTTATTATTCTTTGAAAGTGAGTGTCACTTGTAGTTGACTTGAATTAGTTAAATAAACATCTATTTGATTGATAGCATTGCCAACAAATTATCATCAAACAAGATAATACATTAACACATAATTAATAACAATGTCAATTGTGAGGTATTTTGTTTAGTCAATAAAATTGGGCCACAATTTTGGTCACTCATATTGTTTCACTTTTTTAAAAAAAAATTATATAATCACGTCTGGTATGCATACAAATACAGTACAGAAAATTTACAGTACAATTAAAACAATGCGATAAAAATTATAATATTATTCATTATAATTATAATAAAACCAACAATAATACTATGATATATACATAATAAGTTAGATTTATATGATATACTGAACTATTCAATGAACTCATTTTTTGTTGTTAAAGGCATTCAATAATAATTAAATAAAATCATTTTTTAGTTGACATAGACTTTCAATTGATGTAACAGTTAATTGTTGACTGACTTACATTAATAATTGTTGTCATCACTGGTATGTTTATTGAACAATATTGTCATTTAAACCTGAAATTTTTTTCAACAATTTATAATTTACATAAAAAATATGTGGCTTTTTGTGTCGTGATTTGCACCAAAAAAATGTGTGCAATTTTAAATGATTTACCGAAAAAAATGCAATAATAAATAATTGCTTAAATATAAAAATGCTAATAGATATATAGATTGATTTTTTAAAAATAATAATAATAAATATTTATATAAAATTTTCTTTTCATCAATAAATAAAATATAAATAATATTTTATAAATATAATGTTTATAATTATATAGTAGATTCTAATAGTAAGTAGAATATTAATTTAAAAACTAATTAATATCATAATATTATAAGAATATTTCTAAAATATTAATACATAATAATAAATAAATATTTAATATATATATACAGTATATACAGTATAATCACAAACTAGACTATAAGTGACCAAAAAAGCGTCTCAACCCACTTAAGTCGGGCTTCAGTATAATAAGCAAATGCGATGTCGGGTTTGGTGTATATTAGAGCACAGGTAGTAATAGTTGTAACTGTTCGCCGAAAAAGACAGGTTTTGCTCACAGTTTTTCATTGACTCCAAAAAACAGATCAGAAAAATGTTTTTTTTTCTGTTAAATTACATTTGTTAAGAAACACAGACTCGCATAGCCGTCATTCAAACGAGTTATAGCTCTGACTGTACATACCATTCCCTGTTTGTTGTGTTGTTGTTATTATTGCCTACCTGTGTGTGTGTGTGCCTCTATCACTATCACATCATTAGCCAATATATACAGAGACACATATATTGAGGTGTTATACACGAAGATTTTATTCAAAAAGTTTTTTTCTTATTTCTACTAAAGTTTACCACAATTTTATAAAATATCTATTTATTATATTGTCATATAAATTGGTGTGTGATATGTGTGTTGTTATGCCATAAAGTTGTGGATAATGCCACTAATCAGTCACGAGTTATGCCATAAAACGGTGCAAAAGTAATCATCAATTATATATATATTTAGATATCAATAGAAAAATCGGTTATTTTTTTAGTCGATATGACGGACTTTTCCGGATCTGTTTCGCCGAAAATAAACTCAAAGAAGGTATCCATTCATACAATTATTTATTTTTTTATATTAAATGTTTGTAATAATTAAAGTTTTTTTTCTTCAAAAATATCTACATTTAAAAACTTTTATAAAGTTATATAAAATATCATTAAATGAAGATTTTTAATCAGATTTATCGTTAATATTGAAAAATAATTTTATTAATATTATTAATTGCTTTAATTTTTCTGGTTTTGTGTGGATTTTTAAAAAACCTATAATTAATTTCAATTATAATTATTATTCCATCCTTGGATTTAATATAAAACATTGACTATTTGTAAGTTATATATAACTTAGTTATATGTGTATAAATATGTGTATATATTCACATAAAATGATTTAATCTTTTATACTTTATTTGCAATATCAGTGTTAAGGATAATATACAGCTCTATATAAACGCCCGATCAGGTTATGTCTGTGCAATTTATTGAGTATTTATTTAAAAATAAAATAAAATACATTTCCTTTTTTTATTGAATTTTCAATCAAACTATAATTATTTAAATTTATGAAAATTCATTATTATTTAGTACTGTATAAAGGATTGTATGTTATAAAGGAATTGTTTTCACTAAACAAGAAAAAAAATTAATTGATTGGTTTTTTGAGAAATATTTTTAAAATATATATTATATATAAAGTATTAATGAGTTTTTTATAATCATTTGTTTAGAGGAAGTGTCTTATATTTGACTTATAATTTTTTGAAAAATTTATTAAAAATAAATAAATAAAATAACATTAAACTGAATGACATATAATAAAAATATTTTTATATAACAATATTTAAAATTATAATATTTAATAATAAGTTGTATACAAATTCTGTTATATTATTTACGCCAATTGAAAACAAATGAGATTATTTAAGCTAACATTTAATAGAAATTAAATTTATATTTTTAATAGTAATACAATTCAAAATGTTTTTACAGTTTGATTTTAACTAATTAATAGTGTAAAATGAATTTTCAATAAAGTTATAATAATACTAAAAAGTGATTTACATTTACTAAATAGTATCATATATTTTTGTATTTATTCTCAAATAACCTCAAATATTATTAGTAATACATTATTATTATTAGTATTATTATTATTATGACTGTCGTTCCTATACTTGTAATGTATATTTTAATGTTACGCTTTGCAATTATAGGAACTATCTGAGCGAAATGCACTGATAATATTTAGGTTAGAAATTATAACTAAAGCATTCAATTTATGGATATTATATAAAATGTTTTTATTTTGCAATACTATACAATTGTGTATTATAAATTAAAAATGTTTATTAATCTATTAGTCTTAATAATAATTAAAAAATAATTAGCAATGTATAGCATCTAAATAACAATATTAATAATCATTAATTAATTATAGTTTTATTAGTTTGACTGATTATAAAGCATTATATTATATACAGTAGATTAGCTATGAAAAAATTGCTATTATTAAATAATATAGTTTATGTTTATTGAAAATAACTAATACAGAAAATAGTATGCATAGTAATATACTTTAAATATAATAAAGTTGTAATTAGGATGTAAAATTTTTTTTTTGTTTTGTAACTAAACTTTATTGTGTTAATTGCATTTATGAAAGTTGGATATACAAATTAAAATTAAAAGTTATTTGTTACAATTGTTAAGAATATTATTTTTATTTTTAATAATAGAAATAATGATTTTAAAGTCAAATATAAGTGATTATGATATAATAATAATAATAGTTTGTTAATGTTCCACAATTTTATGTCATTGATTATAAATTATAATGAACTTATATTACTATAAAGTCAATGTCTAATAGTGTTAGACTCCTTATATTTATATAACTAAATTAATATACAGTATTATACACTATATACATACATGTATTAAACATTATTTTAGGGAAAAATAATTTAATATATTTGTTTTATAATAATTATTTTAAAAAAAAGTTTTTATGGAAAGTTTTTTATTTGACCCTCATTACATTGTGATACTCGTGCCAACATTTCTAATATATTAATCATAAATTTATACATTTTGTATTATTAATAAAAAACTTTTTAAAAAACATTAATGTATCTATAATAATATTTTATTTTATTTTATACATGATACACAACTGTATAAATTGTTTATTTAAAATTAATTTTTTCTCAACAAATGATAATATTTTTATTTTATTTTTGTTAAACACTATTATGCAAACTAAATGGCCCTGAATTTCGGGCAAATATTTACACACAAATACAACACACACACACACACCTAATAAACATTTTTCAAAAAATTATTATTATTATTATCGCTATAATTATTTATTAGATTTTATGTAAGAATTATTTTTTTCTAACCATCAACCATTATTACATTATTAAGCAATGATAACTGTTTTTTATTTATTTTGACACCTATATAGCTAATGCTGGTTATTAAGTATTAAACAATGACTTTATTTTCCTAATCTTTTTTTTCTCTCTCTCTAATTCATAATTTATAGGTTTTCAAGTCATTTCTGCAATTATTTATATTATTCAACATTGGATTACAACAACATCTATATGTAGAGTCAAAGCGTATCTTAAGTAAGAAATTTGTGTTTTTTTTGCTGTTATTATTATTTAATACTAAACTACTTATATGAATGTTATTTTTTTCTTTAACTACAAACAACTTTATAATTTATATAACTAACTTAACATACCGGTAAAGTAGCTCCTAAAATAAATTGTTATATATATATATAATTTATTTATTAAAATAGTAAAAATAATAACACAATCTTATGCTACTTAAAAGTTTTTTTTTCAGTTTTATAGTTTGATGCCTAATAAAAACATTTGTTTTTGCAAACTATTGTGTTTGTGAATGTGTGTGTATTAACATAATTATATCACAATTAGCATTGAGATAATTAACAAACAAATTTTGTTGTTTATTTCAGTTATCTTTTTTTTCCTGAAACTATTATTTATTTATTTACTTATATAAACTTTTTTATTTTTAGGGAAAAATCCAAATTAATATCTTATAATTAAACTGCGAGACAATAGAAATATAAAAGCAATGACACAATAATTATATTCAATTATTATTATTATTATTTTACAATGTTTTTCTAGACACACATTTGTTAAACCAAAAATTAACATCAAATGCAAAGCCAAACAAGAAATTGGTCTGTTATTACACCAATTGGTCACAATATCGACCAAAAGAAGGCAAATATTTACCAGAAAATATTGATCCAAATATCTGTACACATATTATATTCAGGTATTTTGTTTGCCCGACAAAAAAAATACTAATCACATAAAATAAAATTTTGTTTTTTTAATAAATATAATAATATTTTAAAAAGTTATTAATAGTTAAAAATTAATCTAATTAACTAACAATTTTACAATAGTAAAATTTATTATCGCAATTACTGTTAATAATATAAAAATTAATTAATTTACTAAAATTAATTTATGACTTGTTTGATAATAGCATAATAAATTATAAACTACAGAGAAATAAATAATAAATAAATTTTTTTTTTAGTTAATTATCAGATTTAAGATTAAAACCGACATCAGATTTAGAGATATGAATTAATAGTCCAATAAATTATAGATAAATGATTTTTTTTGTAAAATTAAAAAAAAAGATATTGAGTGATAATTATAAACATTTATATATAAATAAATTTATATACCTGTATATATATATATATATATATATATAAAATATTAGAAAATATAAACCATGTAGTTTAACATTGGATTTGTTTTAATTTATAAATTAAAAAATATCAGCTTCGGGTGGATGAAAGCAAACAAACTGACCTCATTTGATGCAACAGATGAGACTAATAATGGCAAAAAAGGCACTTACGAGAGGGTCGTTGATCTCAAAAAACAAAACCCAAATCTTAAAGTATTGCTGGCCGTCGGTATGGATATTAATAATAGTCAATCAAAAATCAATAAATATATTTTTGATTGTCATATATAAATATATAATTATCTAAATAATTTAAATTAGGGGGCTGGTCGTTTGGCACCGAGAGGTTTAAAGTGATGTCATCAAACAGATATAATAGACAAGTATTTATATTCAGTGCAATGGACTATTTGAGACAAAGAAATTTTGATGGTATGTGTAATAAATAGTTTTTTATTTTAAATATAAACAATAATTAATATCTTTATGTCTTTGAATTGTGTCATCAAATAGGTCTCGATCTCGATTGGGAATTCCCGAAGGGTTCAGACGACAAAAAGAATTTTGTCGACTTATTAAAGGTTTTTAACAGAATATTCTTCTAAAAAAACATTATTTAATAATAATAATAATAATCCAATATTTGAAAAATTATTACTATATAGGAATTGCGGGAAGCATTTGAAGCCGAGGCCAAAGAAAAACGATTGCCGCGACTAATATTGACAGCCGCCGTATCGGCCGGTTCTGACACTGTACGCGGCGGCTATGATGTGCCAGCAGTTGCAGCGTTTGTTTATTTATTTTATATTATAAATTCAATTTTTTTTAGATATTTAATAATTCAAATCTAATAAGATTTTTAATTATAGTTATATAGATTTCCTAAACATCATGTCCTATGACTTTCACGGCAAATGGGAACCGAAGACTGGACACAATGCACCTCTATTTGCACTGTCAGATGAAACTGATTGGCGCAAACAACTGTGTGTTGTCAGTAAATATATTATATCTTATATGAATATTATATAATTTATTTATTTTAATTTACTAATGCTAACATTAAATTATTTTGAATTAATATTAGGAATTTGGTGTAAAATTATGGGAACGCATGGGAGCGCCTAAAGATAAAATAGTGGTTGGATTGGCTACTTATGGTATGTCATAAAAAATGTCAACCATTTCATAAAATAATTGATTTACATATTTATATAATCCATTAAATCCTTTAATTAAGGTCGAAGTTTTACGTTAACAAATCCGGCCAATAATGGTATGAACGCTCCGTCATCGGGTGGCGGCAAAGCTGGTGAATACAGCAAAGAGTCGGGATTTCTGGCCTTCTATGAGATCTGCGATCTGTTGAAGAATGGCGCCACTTATATATGGGATGAACAACAGAAAGTGCCGTATTTGGTAGATGGAGACCAATGGGTCGGATTTGACGACGAAAGGTCTATCAGAAGTAAACTGAAATGGATTCTCGACAACGATTACGCCGGCGCTATGGTCTGGACAGTAGATATGGACGACTTTCACGGCAAATGCTCCGGTAGAAAGTATCCTCTGATTGGTATTATGGGCGAAGAACTTCTTGGAAAACCCAAAGAATCATCAAATTTTGATTCAATTGTTAAAAAAGCGTCGTCTAATCCGTTGATCAAAGAGCAGCCATCGGTTCCAAACGCTGATCAAAATTCCATTCACGAGAAAAATGATTTGACATCCACTACAACGGATACTTTGGCTACAAATTCTTTGCCCAAACTATCCGATGACGAGTTGACTAATGCACGCGTTGTGTGCTATTACACAAACTGGTCCAATAAGAGGCCCGGTATTGGAAAGTTCGAACCCGAGCACTTGGATCCCAATCTGTGTACACATATTATCTTTGCTTTCGCTAATCTGAACAGCGAGTTCAAGATCAGTGCCAGCGAGGAAACTGATGAAACAGTTGGATCACAACAGGGTCTTTACGAACGTGTGATTGCCATCAAAGAGAAAAATCCTAATTTGAAAGTAATGCTAGCAGTGGGCGGTTGGATGATGGGTCCGACACCATTCAAACAGCTTACGGAAAACACATACAGACAAACATTGTTCATATTTAACGTCATTGAGTTTCTCCGTAAGAAAGGCTTCGACGGACTTGACATCTGTTGGGAGTTCCCGCGCGGACCGGAAGATAAGGAACGATATGTCAATCTACTTAAGGTTGTTATGATTGTATAATAATTATATATTTAACATACGTTTGCCACTCTCAGGAATTGCGAGAGGCTTTCGATGGTGAGGCCAAAGGATCAGGAAAACAGCGACTTTTGCTGACAGCAGCCGTTCCCGCAAGTTTTGAGGCCATCAATAGTGGTTTCAATGTACCAGAAATTAATAAGTAAACATCATATATATATATATTTATACAGTATATAGTTTGAAATTAATTCTTAAAAATTACTGTAATACTATTAATTCATTATAAGATACTTAGATTTTATGAGTATAATGAGCTATGATTTTCACGGAGATTGGGAACAAACTGTTAACCATAATTCACCGCTATTTGCATTAAATACGGCTTCTGGTTATCAAAAGAAGTTGACTGTGGTATGACTGTATGACTGTCTGATATTACAGACTAAAATAATTTTTTTTTAAGTTTATTTAATTAATAAATATATTTATATATATTTTTAAAGGATTTCAGTGTTGGTGAATGGGTTAGTAAGGGTGCCTCCAAAGAGAAACTAGTGGTTGGTTTACCAACATATGGTAATTATTTTTAAACTAGTAATAATCACTTTTTAATAATAAATTTTTTTATAAAAATTTTGTTTTAATTATCGGTAATAGGCCGTACTTTTACACTGAGTAGTCCTAATCTTACTGACATCAATGCACCGGCACTTAAAGGTGGTCTTCCCGGACAATATACACGAGAATCTGGATTTTTAGCATTTTTTGAAGTAAATAATATTTTTTTAAACAACAAATTATTATAAAACAAATTAAAAAAAATTATTTCATTACATTTGCATAGATCTGTGATCTCTTGAAAATGGGAGCAACACTTGTCTGGGATAACGAACAGATGGTTCCCTATGCATACTCTGGTGACCAATGGGTCTGTTATCTGTTAAAACTTTGTTTTAAAATAGATTTTTTATTAGCAAACAAACAAACAATTAATATAATTATGATTTTAGGTTGGATTTGATGATCCAAGAAGTTTTAAAGTTAAAGTATGTAATTATTGAGAAAATTATAAAACAAAATATTTATTAATTTAATATTATAACAATAAATTAATCTCATTATACAAATGTATGTCTTTATAATAATAGATTCAATGGCTTAAACAAGCTGGATATGGAGGCATTATGATCTGGTATTTATTATTATAAAAAATCGATTTATACTAAAAACTAATAAATAAAAAAATGTTGTCACAAACTCAGGTCAATAGACATGGATGACTTTTCGGGCTCATGTATGGGACAAAAGTATCCATTGATTAATGCGGCCAAAGAAGAGCTTAAGGGTTATAAAGTGGCAAATTTGGAGGCAATTAACACTAAGGTTGCGCTCACTAAAGGTTTGAAATTTTTGTTGTATAAAAATATGACTTAAATATAATAAAATTATTTACATATTTTTATGTGTTTCTAATATCACTTATTTTTCAGAGAAAAAAAATAAAGATGAAGTAAAGTGTGAGGAAGCGGACGGACACATCTCATACCATAAAGATAAGACTGACTGTGCGATGTACTACATGTGCGAAGGCACCCGTCGTCATCATATGCCGTGTCCACAGAACCTGGTCTTCAATCTCAAAGAAAATGTATGCGATTGGCCTGAAAATGTCGAGGGATGTGAATCACACATCACTAATAAAGATAATTAAAAATTAAACTTAAATTATTATTATTATTATATATTTTATTTTTTATAAGTATATGTAACTTGTGTTTGTGTTGATACAAAAAACTGCCGATTTTATTACATATGAGATTTTATTTTTAAATATTAATATTTACTATTAATTTTTTCATATTTTATATTATTAATTGTTAAGTTATATGTATATTCTTAAATAGCACTTTAAAATATTTTTTATAATAATATAATATTATTACTTAATTTATAATTATTGATAATAATTAAAAATAGACCATCACATTGTAAATATTTATTTTTTATTTGTTTTTATAATTAATGAGTTTAATATTACATATTAGTAATGACTAGATATGAAACTATGAAAGTTTTTAAAATTTTATGACTTAAATGAAAATTTAATATTTATAAGATATGTATCACAACTTAATACCAATAAAGTTGCCATCAATTGTGTGCCTTCTTTGACTAACTTTACAAATCTGATGGCATTTATTTCATTAATATCACTGAATTTATGCGAAATATTCACTTTTCGCCACCGATTCTCGTAATTGTATTCAATCAATATGTTTGATGACTCTTTAGTCAACAATATTATCAATGATTTCATGTTTTGTTGTGTATATAAATTTATTGGAAGTCCATTACAATCAACTGAATAGTCGTTTTTATTGTGAATGTTAGTACAATCACTAAATAAAAAACACTTAATGTCCAAAATTTCTTCTTTAAAGTCAAATAGCTTTTGTTTATGTGAGTTATCGGTAATGATATCAATAGCTTTCCGAAGTTTGCCATTAAACGGATCACTTTTGACCACAATTATTGATCTAAAGTCAGATATGTTGATTGAAAACTTATGAATTGTAAAGCAATCGGTTTCAATAGTTGTATAGATATCGAGATTTTTTATGTCAACCGCAATAAAATTGTGTGTATTATTATGGGATGACAGTGTGTCCAACCATACCAGTCCTGAAACAGTATTAACATCGGCCGCAACAATCTTCGATGACTTGTCATTGAATATCATACTACTGTCGGTTTGTTTTTTATTAATCATATCATATCTACAGACTAGTCCTGCTTTGCCGACAATAATAGCCGATTCCAGTTCTTCAATGTAAAAGCCATCGCAGATATCAAATGTGACGCCAATTAGTTCAACATTTATGCCATCCTTGACTTTGGACGTCGTTTTATACGATCGATTACTGCATACAATTTTTTTAGCATTGTTTGTCACACCAATTATAAAGGCATTCTTAAGAAACAAATGTGTCTTAAGACAGTTCTTCATATTATCGGTGCAAAGGATTGACAACTCATTGACAAATCGGTTATTTTTGCAGAAGAGTACAACTTTTGAACGATCAGAACTGATAACAATTCTGTAGTCAATCTTTACATTATTATTAGCTTTGAGACCAAGTAGTAGTTCACTACTTCGGCGACGAAACCATTGAGTGGTCGACTCTTTTGATTGGATAGACCTTTCCAATTGAGATGTGATTTGTTTGACATAAAATGATCGTTTAGTTGCCATATATTTGCGTTTCGGTAGTTTAATCTCATTGAATGCCACTCTTTTCAGATCAATGACATCGTAACAGTTTTTAGCCGCTTCTCGGATACTATATATCATTTCACCCGAACTGTTGGTTTCATCTGTAAAATCTTTGTCTAATCCCATCTTAATTAAAGCCAAACCAAATCTGAACAATACTTTTACCCCTTCTAACCAAAAACAATCCATTATATATAAGCGAACCTAATATTATTTAATTAAAAAATATATATAATTATATGACCAAAAAAGTGCTAATAAATTAAATTGAATCTTATTTATGGTCACATTATTTAGTCTTATTTATTTATTTTTAAAAAACGTGTTAAACTTTAATTTATTTATTAGTGTTTAAAAATTTTCTATGATTTTGCCATAACTTTAAAATGTCGATTTAAATAGAAAAGTGTGTCGAGTGTTGAAAACTTATACAAAACTTAAGTTATAAGTTATTTAAAAGGAAAGACTGATTTCGTGAACTTGTAGTTTCTGGGTAACAGATGAACCCTATGTCCAAACCATTTGAAAAACCTTTTTAAAAGCTTTTATTGTGTATATATTTGGCAACAATTGAATGAAAAGCACACATCACTTGTATGGCGTGTGTCTCTTACAAACACCAGTCCTCTCTCTCTCTCTCTCTCTCTCTCTCTCTCTCTCTCTCTCTCTCTCTCTCTCTCTCTTTATTGACATATCTCTTAAAGTTTACTTTTTTGTAGTCAAATACATAATAATAAATATTAAATATACATGAAAATTATTAGACTTGTCTATCATTTTTTTATATTAATAAATATTAATTATTATGCTAAATAATAATAATAATTGCCATTAAAATTTATTTATCAACTGAACCAAAACTAAGCTATACTATAGTATGAATAAATTGATGTACAATTGATGTACTGAAACACGCGTTCACTAGTACGTGGTAGTAAACTGAGGCACGTGCCCATAGACCGACAGAACCAGGTGTTATTCATCACTAGTAACAGGTAATACACGCTTGAATAAGGCTCTGAGCGCTCCCTTTAATTTTCTAGTACTCCCTAAGCCATCAGTCAGAGTAGTAAAGAGAGCTATAAATGTAAAGCATCTGGTATTCAGAGCCACGCGACACATGCAGACCATCGATGCCATACATTAGACTATAACCAGAAAGAGAGAGAGAGAGAGAGTCTGTATACAACACAATACAACTGGTCATTGAAAGGGCAGATGCTTTGTTGTTGTCTAAACTCTTTGAATGTGATGTTTTAAAAGCCTCATAATTATCGGCAACACATGCCATACAGGCTATGGGCTACGGCTATGCTCTGAATGATATCTAATTGATTGAAACCATCCATAAGTCTATCAGTACTTCATTTGTTATTATTCTTATTATTGATATTTATATTTATATTTTACTGATTAAGTAGTATTGATATTTATTTTAGTTTTTTTTAGATTTTTATAGTTTTTTTGCTTTACTATTTTACTATTTTTTGGATCAAAATCACTATTAAAAGTTTAGTTGATTTTTTAAGATTATAAAATAAGATATAATAAAATCAATGCAGATGTTGTCCTCATAAACATTATAAATATGAAACTATAAAACTATCCTTGAATTCATTGAAGAAAAACTTTTCATTCAAACAATTATGAGATCTTTATTTACAAACACGTAATCTCTTATCTAAAGTTAGTTTTTTGAACACAATAAGAGTCTAACAAAAGTTTCTTTATATTCAATATATATAAATAGTATTAATAGGGAATATATTTCCTTTAAAAGCTAACACACATCTAACTTTACACTATGTTTAAGCAATGAATATCTAATAAACAAATATGAGTTACAAACAAAATAAATATCAATTTTATCGTCACTATTGTGCTGAATCCTTACCCTTATTTGCACAATATTTGCATTTAATGTTTCAGTTATTATTAAACATTAATTTTTTGGTTATAATCTTATTAGACGCTGTTTTTTGTTTATTTTTGTTTTGCATCCTTTCAATAACCAAAAAATAAATTATATATGATTTCCGGACAAATATGAATAAGCTTAAATAAGTGCTAAAAATAAACTTAAACATATAAACCTTACACAGTTAAACAGTTATCAACAACAATATTAGCAACAAATAAATCAATGGCTAGTTTTTTACAGAGAAAGAGAGTGAGTGAGTGAGAGAGAGAGAGAGAGAGAGAGAGAGAGAGAGAGAGAGAGAGGGGGGGGGAATTAATTATGAGTAGAAAAATAAGTTTTCAATAAAAATAAAATTTGATTTGAACTTTCACCAAATATAAAACTAACGTTAAATTCAGTTGTATTTTTGTATTTTTTGAAAATTTATGCTTTGGTTGTGTATGTATATGTGATGCCCTATTCAATGGCAACTATTGTGTTGTTAGGGTCTACTGACACCAGCACTGTTAGTACCAGAGAGAGAGAGAGAGAGAGAGAGAGAGAGAGAGAGAGAGAGAGAGAGAGAGAGAGAGAGAGAGAGAGTGAACACATACAGTATATAAATACATACATGTATTGGGCACTGGTAATAGAATAACCCGAGCTAATAGAGAGCTGATGCCCAAACGCCAGGTGCAGTTGTTTGGTTTTATGCTGGTTAGAGAGGGGGTATTGACTGGTGGAGGGGGAGTATTATCAACGAAACGCGTGCTCGAGATTTTGACGACGTGCTGCACGTATTGGGTCTTTGATGTGTTTGAGACCGCAGGCACTGTCAGCACACAACACAAGGGCTGCGCTAAGAGATGAACTCTGGGCTTAAAAACATCTGCAGTCAAGCAGTTTGGGCTCAGTTTAGACTCACTTCTCAGCAAACGAAGTGCTCTTCTCTACCGAAATAAATATATATATATTTCTCTTCAGTTATAGTGAAAGTTATACACTATTTTCAGTTTGAATTTTTATGATTGAAATCAATGAGTCTTCAAAAAAGAGACTTCATTTAAAATAGTACTTAAAAAAGTCGGTTTCAATTGAAAATAATTAGCAAAAAATAAAATTTATATATATATTATTATTAAGTGCTGTTTCAAAGTTATTTTTATATTGTTTTCTATCCTCAAAAACAATGTATTCACAAGTCATTGTCATCGCATCCATTATCACATCTATAGCAACGGCTCCAACAACAGTGATAGCCAGAGATGAGAGCAATCAGTTGTCAAATGCTATACTGCCAGTCAAACTACCAATTATGAAGTCGACGACGACTACTACTACTGGTGCTCCATCAACGAGCAGTAAGACTACAAATAAGGAGAAAAATTGGTCGCTAACTAAGGCCTGGCTTATCGATAATATCAATCGTTTGAGACACGAATTCATTGAACTCGAAAGGGATTACAACCATCACATCGAAAGCTCGGACGCCATGGAACTGGCAAAAGACAAACGTATGGTTCAGGATATGGCAATGCTTAGGGCCGACCATTCAATTCTGGCTCAACAGCAAAAACAAATCATTCAACTCATTAAGCAAAGAAGTCCATCAATGGGTTCCTATTTAAGAGAACAGCTCATCGCCAGCACTACCAGCAGCAGCACGACGTCATCGACCGTCAGTCCCAATAAGTCGCACCGCAAACGGGATTCTCATATTAGAAAATTTATCAAAAAAGAGCAGTCATTCGAGGATCAAACCAAACATAATATGTCTGAAGTTTTTGCTGAAATGACAGCATTACATGATATCACTATTAGTATGTTTGAAGACTTGATGGATATCCAAAAGAAAGTCAACGACAAATTGAATCAGTCATGAAATCAGTGATGAAATTAAATAATATATTGATTTCCTCAGATTTTTTATTATCAAATAATACTTCCAGTCATTGATGTGCTCTAATCTAATGTCAAACTAATATATTTTTTAAGACAATACTAGATCTCAAGATTTCAAGTGATATTAAAAAAACAATAGACGCTCTTCTCTCAAATTGTTTATATTAATTAAATGATAAACTCTTTTGAGTGTATTGTAAAAAAAGTTTGCGACAATTATTTAAAATATAGTTTTTTTAAATAAAATTATTTTTAATTATAATATTGTAAATAGTGATTTATGCACTATTATCTTATAAAAATAATAATAGAGATATTTATTTTTTTCTAAATAATAATTTATGTTATAATAGTAGAATAATTGTATGTAAAAAATATTATTTATCTCTATAATAATTTGTAAATATTAAATATTTAAGTCAATTTATTAAATAAATGCACTTTTTAACACTAATTTGTTTGTTTGTATTCATTGTCATATTATTATTATTATTACTCATGGTAAATATAGTTTTTTAAAAATAATAATTGATAATCAAATTGATAAATTATGTCAATTAATTTTTCTTAAATGTTAATGAGATAAATATTTTTTAGAAAACATAGAAAGTATAATTAATAATTGTATTAAACAAAACCCATACAATATGTGTAGTATTAATAATTATTAATTGTTACAAATTATTATTTTTATCTAAATGTTTTTGGTTATGGCATTGAAACATACTGTAGTGTGTGTTTCTATAGTAATAAATTGATTAGTGTGTGTATGTATGTGTGTCTGTGTGTGTGTATTTGTGTGTATGTGTATGTATGTGTTTTGTGTGTGTGTGTGTGTGTGTGTGTGTGTGTGTGTGTGTGTGTATCTATATGTGTGTCTAATTTATTATCATACAAATACAGTAATATCTATGGCCTCCCATTCCCTCCCGTTAGTCATATATAATTGACTTGAATCACGATTCTGGTGTTGAAAATTTTTAGACCCATATACTCATAAACAGGAATTTAGTTTTAAGAAATTTTTATTATTATTAATATTACATTTAATAACAATATTAGTGCCCGAAAGACACACAAAAAAATTATAATAAAAGTGAAACAGTCATGACTTGAGGGTTGGAGAGCATTAAACCAAAACCTTGAATTAAAATTTCAATGAATTTGCTAATACTGTATATAATAAACGGTTTGTTTTTAGTAAAAAAAACTTAAGTTATAAATGAAAAAACTTTGTAACAAATTTGCCGCAAATGCATGTTTGTTGTCGATGTTATTATTATTGTTAAATTAATTCAACAGTTATTACTTTTGTTTCTCTGAATTATCTAAATAAACCGTATATACCACACACATACACACATATTGTAACGTTTTTTTTTTTTAAATAATTGTATCAAAATTTTTCAACAAAAATAGTATATAAGTGTTGTCAATAATGAGACATACCTGCCAGGGAACAGCCGAGTGATATAGAGATAGAAACCAATTCAAAGACAAAGCGTTAGTTAACTCCTCTCGCATCTGTTCGCTTAGATGTTGGCCCTCAATGTTAGCACTGGTCGTTATGGTTGATATGAGATCTTTAAGGAGCATCTGGTCCGCCCTCGCACCTACAGTATAGGGGGTGGCAGAGAGAGAGGGAGAGAGAGAGAGAGAGAGAGAGAGTCATATAGTATATTAGACAACTATTATAATGTACTGTACCTCATAAAAAGCATATTATTTTCTATTATTTAATATATTGTATATTATGACTACAATTGAGTCGGTAATACATAAAATTATATATACAATAAATACACTTAGATTTTCTTAGAAGTTTGTTACGTTAAAAAATATAGTACAATATACAGTATAACTGGATTTTATTATTATTGCTTAAACGCCTATTTCTTAAATTTCAATGGGAAGTTACGGTAATATTACTATAAATTAAATACTTGATATTAACGGTATATATATATATATATATATATATATATATATATATTAATAATACATAACATGTATTATGCAGTACATATAAACCTACAGTACATATTTATTATATAAATAAATTATATATACAATAATTTTTGTGTAAAAAATAACACAAATTTCATATATATATATATAAATTTATAACAATACCTGTTAGATGATGATCGTAATAATGGGGTGGAAAATAGTGATCTATTATAGCAATGAAACCCCTAAATAATTGATAAAAATTAAACATATTTAACAATTTGCAATACAAATAACAATACAATTTTTTTAAAATTTAATAATACATTAATGAATATTCTTGATTGCCGTCAAATACAATCAAAAGTAGAGCTGCAATGAAGTTCATTCCCTGACAATAACCAACTCTAGGATTCACATGAATACAGTAACCAATGAGTATATTTCGCAACTTTGATATCTTAATATTAAATTTATTTACAATATTAGTTGTTGTAATTATCTATAAATTGCATAATAGTAACTTTCAACAACAAAAAACAATAATAATAATAAAAACTAACCCATTGATCATCTCTAATAAACATATGATGATTGGGAACCGTTCGCTTAATATCCAAATCAATTTGATTGTAGACTTCCGATTGGCAACCATTCACTTCATCCATGCTTTCATTGGATGCACAGTTTAATATGTCATTTATCTAATATTATAATTTACATCAAATATACTATAAATTAAATTATTTTTGCATTAATAATAATTAATAATAATAAATACGTCAATATTGATGTCAATCTTGGACCGGATGAAGACAAGCCATACATGTTGTCTCATATCATTGGGTATACCATAATCTCTGATCAAACACTTAATACTTTGACAACTTTCAGACCAGTGTTTCCTTGAATTAATGTCCAATAGTTGGCTCAATAGATGTTCAAAATATTGGTGATTAGTGTCACGATTTGACAGTTCGTTGTCACCAATTGATATAAATCCAAACTTATCCACACAATTATGGCCATCAAATGTGTGATAATATTTTCTCATCGATTTTAAAGCTCTTCTGAAAACTGGAGAATTGTTTTGAATCTGAAATTTTCAACAGAAAAGATAAATTAAAATAAATATATATTTAAAAAAAATATTATTATTTTTCATAAACTAAAAATAGACAAACTATTGATTACCTGATTTTGTAGGATAAGACACAAAAAATTGTAAATCATTTCATTGAAGTCGTCAAATATGTCAAACTTTTCGTTTATTAATAATTCATTGTTTTCTTCGAAAGATTGTTCACTAAAAAAACAATATATAAAAATAAATATATGAATAATTTATTACTTATAACATTAAAATAAAATAAAAAGTTATTGTTTTGAAAGATTAGTCAAATAATGTTATATAATGTTATGTAACGTTATGTCAATTTATGTAAATTACAATTATTTAGCAAAAAAAAGTTTGTTTAATAAAATACAATAATATATACAATAATGATAATAAAAGTCATACAAATTTATTGCCGAATCGGATGACGAACCGGAACGATATCTTCGATAATCAATTTTCCGTGTCTTTCGGCCACCACTTTGATGACAATGATTGGACTCAATGGTATTCATCAGTGAATTACATCCCATATTATTGTTTATGTCTATTGTCTTTTCAAACAAGTCTCTGATGATATCATCAGTCGGTTTGTCATCTCTGGTATGACAGACACTCATCATTTGGTGTCTGTTTGTTTATTCACCGCATATGTTATGAAAATCATTAAAACATAAACTATAAGTTTTTTTAGATTATTTAAATGTCAGTAATTTGTTTTGTTATTTGCACTAATTGTTTAACAATAATTAAAATATTAGTTATTAGCAACAAAATTCATTGTTATATATATTTTTTTATTGTTAAATGAGTTGTTATTTGAAATATTATTATATAACAGGTCTCTTAGTTATAATTTATAGATCAGAGTATATTATATATACTGTATTGTGAATATGTTGTCATATATCACTGATATGAAGACTTTTTTGGTGACTATCAATGTTATATCTTTAAGTCTTTAACTATAACACAACTACACAATTGAAAAAAAATTACACAACTTTTTTGATTTTCATAGTATATTCCTAAGTAATAAAATATACTAATAATTCAATTTTCATTTGACTTTATATATATATATATATATATATATATATATAGGTATGAAAACAGTTAGTAACAACAACAACACAATAATGATTCACCTGTTAAAATGCATTAAAATTGATGATTTTGTCATATTGTATATTAATATTTTATTGAAATTTATCTCACATTTGTCTGGACATATCTTTTCATGTATTGGTTGTACTGTTGCTATTCAAATGAAAACTACTTTTTCCAAAAAAATATAATAATATAAAACTTTTTTATTTAAATTTATATTGAATTGTCATTGAAGTGTATAATTAGTTTGACAAATACATAAATCATAACTGATTATAATCAAATTTATTATTAATATTTTTTTTTTAAAAAAAGTCCATAAGGTATCAATGTTGAACAATATTGGAAAACATCAAACATTAAAAACAATTCACAATATTAATTATAATATCATAATTAATAAAATTATTACAAAATAATATTAAAAAAGTTTTATTGAAATGTTAGTACTGTAATTACTCTAATATTACCAATGTTATTTATCCATAACAAATGTTGTTTACTTCAAAAAAAAAATCTTTAATAGATATATATATATAAATAGAAAAATTTTAAAAATTATTATAATTAACAATTAAAAGCATTATTGTATGCATTTATAAATCTATGTCCCAAATTTGAAACACATTAAAACAATTCATTGAAACAGCTGTCAAATGAATATGAATTAAAATATAATAAATTTTAAAATTAAACAACATTTGTCGATAATTTTTTTAAATAATAAAATTAATTTATATTTATTAAAAAAAACAAAAAAACAACTCTTTGATTAAATATTTTCTAACTAAAGTTAGTTATTTAGTTAGATATTTAAGTAATCATTAGATTATTTTAGAGCAATAATTTTTTTGCATACGAAAAAAATGTTAAAATAAACTTAATTATATATAACAGTTTAATAACCCTTAATTGTTATAATAATTGTTAATACTGTACACAAAATATAGTAAACATTACAAAAGATCATTGACATTTTAATAATATTAATAATATTAATAATACTGTAATATTTATATTATAATACAGTATTTATAAATATTTTAATAATAATACTACTTAACTAAAACTAGAAACTGAAAAAGTTTGCATACTTTGAAAGTTGTATTATAAAAACTAATAAATTATAAATAAATTTAATGGATAATTAGATGAATAATGTAATATTTTATGGATTTATTTAAATTTAGTAAATGAAAATATTTATGATATCATATTTTTATATAAATGAGTTGTATTATAAAACATAACTCATTTAAATTTAGCAATCATTTCTAAAAACAGTAATTTAAATTGACTATGATTATATATGTATTTTTTTAAAAAAATAATTAAATATAAATTATTTAATTTAAAACAAATTAATATAAATTTTAGTTTATTTAACTTATTTTTTGTTGTTGATGCAAATCTGTGATTAACTTAAATTATGTCAATTGATATGAGACAACAAAACTTTATTTGTCTTAATTCTATACATTATAGTTAGCCATCACTTACTTATAGTCTAAATAATAATCGGGACAATGGTTTTGATCACACTTTTAATCAGTCTATCAGTTTTAATCAATAATTTTAAACCAATATTTTATAAATAATTACTGTTTACTAAATAACTTTGAATACTAGTAATTCATTGTTATTAAATATTTTTATTTTTATTTCAACTGTACTATTGTAATATATAATAGGTGTGTCTGTCAAAGTAATATTAATTGTTATAATGTCCTCAAATTGTTAATTAATCAATTCAAGTAATTTAATACTAAATTTTAATATTAATTTTTAAATGTACTAAATTCTCATTTTTAATTTAACACTAGTTTTTCCTTAAATCTCTCTCTTTCTCTCTCATTGACTATAAATTATAGTCTATAATATTGCCATAACTTAATACTAGTTTAATGGTTTAATTATATTTTAATGTAATAACAATGCAAACAAGTTCTATATGGAGCATCAAAAAATAAAAACATTTTCCCATTAATTAAGTTTTTATTTGAGATATTTATATATAATATTATATAACTTAAAACATGATTGTTATTTATATTAAAATACTAGTATATTAAAAGGTTTTTAATAATATAATAAATACAATGCATATTGTTTTTTGATGACATAGCGTGCACTGATATGTGTTGATAGCAATAGCTTATATAATAATCAAGTTTTATTGTAATTAATAGATATTATATTTTTTATAAAGTAGTTATTTTTTAAATATCTTCTTATATATATTTATTACATTAGTTTATTTGTTAGCAATAAATTAAATAGTTTTTTCATATAAACATATCAAATGTTTGACACATTGTACTGTTGTTTTTCTAGTAATAAAATAATACAAATGTCAAATGTATTGGTGGTGTACTGCAAATAATTTTTACAGTACCGGTAAGTAAAGTACTACTTATGTTTGATTAGATATAACTTATTAAATAAATTATATTTATAATCCCTAAAGATATTTTTTACTTGTATTTTAAAAATGTAGTTATTTTGTATATAAAAAGTGAAAAAAATGTGTATTTATTTATTTATATCACTGATTATATTGACACATCTCAAAGATTTCTATTGACTGATATTATGCATGTTTTTATATATAGAGTATTATCATAGATAAATTTAATGTCATTTATTATATTGATAGTAAATATATTAAATTCATAAATTTTTTTATGTTGTTTAGTTTACTACTAGTAGTAATCAATAATTTATTTTAAATTATATATTTTATTTACAAATATTATGATCTATTTATTTCACTGAATTAGTCATTGCATTTTTTTTATCATTATATATATTTATTAAATATACTTATTATATTCATATCAATGTTTTATAATATAAGATTAACTATTTCTCGAATTGCATGTAAAACTTGTCTTAACTATTTTGTATGTTGAAACTTGGATTGTATATATATATATATATATATATATATATATATATATATATATATATATATATATATTTATACCATATATATTATAGTTAAGCAAAAATATTAGTGAATAGTATGAAAAGTCACGTTTGATATAAAACACAACTGTTTGGATGGCATTTGAAAATGTGATTTAAATGAATTAATTCATTGCAAACGTGTTAAACATCTATTGATATTAACCGCTAGTTATCATTATATTAATAATTACATCAAATTACTTAAGGAAATATTTGTAAATAATTTTTTTTGTGTTTATTTTAGAAATTCTATATCAATAATTCACTTTTTTAATTTTCATGTGTTAACAACCTATTAATAATTATTTTTAATAAATTCATACTAACTCCTAACAAAACTTATATATAGTAATTGGTAAGTTTACTTTGATATTATTTAATTGAAACTAATTGCTATTAATTAACTCAATTTTTTTTATCATTATAATAAATTAATTTCAGATAAAAATAATACAACTCTAGGATCTAATATTTGTTTCTCCATTTGAATACGTTGTAAGACATGACTTCTGGAGGAAATGCAGAGAAAATCAAAAGAAAATTAGTAAAAATATCACTGATTTGTGTAAATAAAGAGTTGAATGTATCATATTTACAGCAAAAACATTTCATATTGAAGGCGATGTCAAGTAATGATTATTTCAGTAAATTAGGACACATTTGGCAAACCTTGGAAAGAGGGGGTATTGTATCAAAAAAAACTTTTTTTTTGTTGATTTGATGCAAATATTTGCGAAAATAGGTTAATATTAAAATCGGATTTTTATTTTTTATTTGTATCACTTGTATTAAAAAATTATAGTCAATTATCCTGTTTTACATTATTTGCCACTCAATGATTGCAATGACATTGAAATAAAAAATGCAAGACTTGGACAACAATTCAAAACATATGAAGAAATCTATGAAGAAATCGGAATCATTGAACTGCCAGTGATTGTCAATAATCATAATAATCATACTTTCAGTACGACTTCACACATGAATGGCAGTAACACCACCACCAACTGTGCCAACAATAGTTGTGCCAAAAGTGCCCAAATATTTGTTGGAATCAAGACTCTGGACAAGACATTCAATTCGCTGTTAGAGGAAAACTGGAAGGACTGGACGGGTGCCCGAAATCTTTACTTAAATTTGTCCTCTGATTTCGGTCTATTAAAGATCTCATTATTCAGACGACTTAATGGCAACAATTTGGATACATTTATGTATGTATTGATTGCCTATTGTACTCATATTAACGACAAGAATCGGATTCTGTTACTCGATTTTGTCGACAGATTTCGATTACAACATCTCTCATATTATTTAAGCGTTTATAGCAATACATCCATTCAGACACTTAATAGTAGTAGTAGTAGTAGTAATAATAAATTGAGTCATAAATAATAATAATATTAATATATTTAGTTATTTGAATAATATTTTTTATAATTTAGTTACTTTATCATGTGATATAAATCTCTAATCATTATAATCATTAGAAGCAATTTTTATATTATTTATATGCCATTATTTATATCATATATTGTAATAAATGAACATAAATTCATAATATATACACTGTTATATATACAGTACTTATTAGTATTATGTGTTTTTATAATTATTATAAATATTGAAAAGCTATTAAACAACTAAATCTGTTTATCTCATTTTTATTATTATTATTAATGTTAACAAATTTTTATACAATATGTATTTTATACACAATAAATCACACTAGAAAACAAAATTTTTTATTTTTATTTATCAAATTTTTTTTTGTAGCATATAATCTTAAAATTATTATATTTAAAAACAATAAAAAATAATCATAATAAATAGTATTCTTATATAAATAACTTTTATATCAAATAAAATAAATATATTTTACAAATAAATAATTATGACTTCAAATAGTAATATTGTATTATTTTTTTTTTGGTTCATAAGCTGCCAATTGAGTTAAATTCTTTGAGTCTTTCTGGCAGATTATCTTTGTATAAAACTGGATCAGCTCTAAAAAGATTAGATGATAATTATAAATTTAGTGAAATTATAAAAATACAAATCAAAAATTCAAACCTGAATTCGACTGTTTTTAAAGGCATTGACTTATAAATAGCTGCAAAACGATTGATACAATCGGATCTCTGGTTCAGATGTCTTAAGACATCAGCCGATAGCATCTCATTGTTTGTACATTCGGGACATTTGAACTTTTTTCTGGGCGTCACTTTAATGGGTGCTTTGCCCGTCACGTTTGACACCTGGTATTCAATTATATTGGATTTAATATTAGGGTAAGGTTTTTATTAATCGACAAAAAAAATCAATTAATGTTAAATTACGAGAAAATTCATTGCAATGTCTTCACAATTCATGTGTTGGTCGACCCATAACTTGATTTCTTTAGGCATTATATTTGTATATAAATGATTGTAATACTAAAATAAATAATAATAATAAGTTTAATCAAATTACGGGTAAATGGATTTTTAAACTAAATAATGATTACATTGTGATAAAAGGCGGCTCCGGTCAGTACCATAGAGACATCGTTAGTCCATTCAGACACATATTTCCATCTATGCGTTAGATTATCCCATCGATGAACTCTCGATGGAAAGCCAACAATTCTATCGGGAAATTCCCTCCACGTTTGATAACCAAACTCAAGTTCATCGGCCGTCAACATAACAATGTCGTCATCGATGGCCAGTACAGCATCGGTATCGATGTCAGCGTAAGGATAGAAACGATTGCTTAGTTTATTTTCTTCGGTAGGAATGATCTGCAGCGGGACCTGAATGTCGGGCCATTGATTCAGTTTCGGTGGTTTTTTCATCTGATTATTCCAAACGACAATTACTTTGACACAACTTTTTGCTTTGACTACACTTCTGATGACTTCGTAAAGACTATCCAAACGATCGTAAGTAAGTATAACAGCTGTAAAGCCATGTGATTGTTCTGAAGCAAGTTTTGGACTAATTATTGCATATTTATTATAAATGAAAGGAATCGGACGATTCCATTGGTCGGCCGGAGTCACCGAATTGGGAAAAATTCGTTCATTAATTAGTCTAAGAGTTGTTAATGAAATCACTTTCATTGAGCTGAAGTACGTCATCCAGAGAAACGTTGTCTGATCTCTCATTTCGTCAATCCTTTGTTTCGGCAATGATGTCAAGATTGTCATAATGTCTGCCAATAGATGAGATCGTACTCTAATCGATGCCCGATTCCAATCAATCTTTGTTTCAAATGGAAGCACATATTCGTCAGAAATAATTACTGGAATACATCCAGACATAAGAGCATCGCTGAGCACTGGATGTCCTAAAAATATGGTCTTCAATATAAGACAAAACACTGATTGTGATAATATATTCGGATAATTCACTTCAATATCTCTATAATTATTGCACATTTTAGTCACATTAATTCGTCCGTTTTGTTGGCAGTCGTGCTTTAAAACAAGCAATTGGTCGGTATGTTTGGCCTCTAAATCTTTGAGTATTTGTTGATCACCGACGGATACCCAATCATATTGAGTACAAACTACAAGCCACTGACGTTTTGCATTAAGTAATAGATTTTCATCGTATGGTTTATGACGGTATTGATTACTAAATAAACTATAGAAAGGAATCGACACATCAAACTCTTGTCTATAGGTCCAGGTGTCAAATCCGGCGCCCGCTATCAAAGAGTCGCCGAGATTTACTTCAATACGTTTATTGTAATCGGGAAAAGAACCCGAAATCATATTGAAGATCAAATGATTGGCACCTTTTTTGCCCCAATACGGCAAAGAGGATAAAATTTTTGAGGTAACCTCTAGGTTGACATTCATTTGGTTGAGTAGATCTATATTTGGTATTAACAGACAAGCCTTTGACGGATCGCTTGTGTAATAAGGACTCGAAACGATGGCCTCTAAGAGTTCGGTAAACTCTTGTGACTTTGGGCTCAATAATGACTTATGATTTGTGTCGACAAAATTAATCGACGGATAAATATATACATTAATAAACTCTTCGTTTTTCAATGAAGTGATTGTATTGTCGTAATTACCGCATCGGTAGACATCGAAACAGTTATAATGATTGCACTTTGAGTTTGTCGCTGTCGTCGGTTGAGACGATTGCAACTGATTGTCAGTTAAGACATGCTTTACGGCTAAGTGATAGTCACGGATGACATTGGCCTTTGCTTCGGCCAGCGATCGGTGGCTCGACTTTGGCGCTAACGACAGGTCTGACAGTGAGGGCAGCGATGGAAGCGATTGGAGAGAAAATAGGATTATATAGAGAGTGGATATTAGCAGACATATGAAGATAATTGTAAATAATGTGTTGACATAAATAGGGATCCAATTGAAGATGACGTTCAATGAGATGACTATCAATTTGTTGACATATTTGGACACAATTCTGGCCACTCGTCGTCGCCAATCACACACCGATATAATCATATTTTTGTGTGTGTAATGTGTCCGAGACTTTCCCCGATCGTCACATTGTGTCCACTGAATTCATGTGTCCCATAATCGGTGGTCAATCGCAACACAAACACTCAGTTATTATTTGTTTTGTTTTGATTAAGACATTTGAGCCGTCATTTCAGTCAAAATATTATTATTTATTTTCAAATCCAGAAAAAAACAACATTTGAATGAATGAATCATTTATTCAATTCATTCATTCATTCATTCAATGCATTGATTGTATGTATGCTTCACATGAAAAACAGTGAAACACTAAAAACTGGAGACAAACCAAACAAAAATCCCCAAAAAAATTGGCTGAAAATACACTAAAAATAATTTTGTGATAAAATTTTGGAGTATTTTTATACTGTAATTGAATAACACATGTATTTTCACAAATAATTCATTCAATTGACGACTAAATAAAATACAAGTTTTTTTACACTTTAAGTAAAAACACGTGTAGTTGTTGTTGTTGTGGCTGATAGTCGACAGTACGGAACCAATTGATGGTGACATACGTTTGAACGATGGGCAGTAAAATTAATTTCGTGTCCGTTGTCCACTGGATCCGACAGGGAGTGGCCAAACAGGTGCCCAATAAGATTGAACTGACCAAAGATGACTTGAAAAGGATTATCGACGAACATAAACAACTGATGCCAACAGATGATGAACAGTTAGTTCTTCAGTGATGATTTGGACATCAATTTTTTTAGTAATACTAATCATAATTATTATTTTGGTATTTGATTGCAACAGAAATGAAGAACAGATGAGTTTATCGGAAGACAGCGATGAAGAAAATAATGGCAATGAAGAAGACGATGAAAAACGTATTGTCGATAAATATGATTTAGAAAATTATGACGAAGACAGCGAAGGAGAACTCGGCGCCAATAGTCTGAACGCTTTGGCCAGTCTTACGATGTTTGCCGACAACACCGAAGATCCTTATATTGACAATGAAGTCGAATACTCTGATGTAAATAATAAGTCTTGTAATTGTTTTTTTTTTGTTGAAAACTGTCTTTAAAATATATATCTATGTATTTGAAAGGATGGAGAGGCAGAAAATTTTGAGATCAAATCAACAGATAATTTAGTTCTTGTCGGTCACGTCGAGAGCGATGCACCTGTTCTTGAAGTTTACGGTTTGATTTAAAAACATTTTGTTGTATTTATTGAATTAACTTATTTTTGAACAATTAGTTTACAACGAAGTGGACGACCACTATCCACATCACGACATCATTCTTCCATCTTATCCCATATGCTTTGAATCAATTAATTACTCATCAAGTAGTGAACAACCGGTAAATTATATCGGTATTGGAGATATGAGTAAAGATATAACCATTTGGGACATCGATACAGTTAACTCATTAGAACCGGTTACTAAACTTTGCGGACACAACGATACTGTATTGGATTTATCGTGGAATGTAAATATTAAAAAAATATTGGCCAGTGTTTCGGTAGACCATAGCTGTTGTATTTGGGATTTAGAAAAGAGTGAATTACTGACACAATATAAACATTTCAAAAGTAATGTCCAATCGGTTGAATTTCATCCGTTCGAAGCCCAAACACTTCTTGTCGGTGATTGCAATGGTATGGTTTCGATCGGCGACTTTCAAAGCGGTGCCTTCAAGAAGTGGAAGGTTGGTATTTGTGAAATCGAAAAAGTCTTATGGAATCATTATAATCCCTACACATTCTTCTGTTCGACGAGTAATGGATTTGTTTACAACTATGACGTCAGGAATGAGAAGAAACACATTTATTCAATCAAAGCTCACGAAGACTCTGTTACTGGTTTGACATTAAGGTTTTGGATTTGGTTTTCATAAACATTTATTTTTATTGTTTTAATTATTATTAACTTTTAAAATGATGTCTTGTTTTTATTAGCCGAAAGTGTAACGGATGCCTAATAACCGGTTCAACCGATAAAATTGTCAAAGTTTGGGACATCGACGACAAGAGCGCAAAGTTTATAACACAATTTTCCGATCTGAATGTAGGCTCAGTATTGAGTATAAGCGCAAACCCTGACCTACCGTTCATTATTGCCGTCGGCGGTGATAATAATAAATCAGAAAATTTTAAAATTATTGATATATCGAAATCTAAAAAAGGTTTGTCATTGAAGTTTGATTTTTTAAATTTATTTATTTATAATTTTTAGATTATGAAACAATTATTAGTACAGTTATAAATAAATTATAAATATATAGATTTTATGTACCGATAGTTATTATTTAAGTAATATTACTGATAATAATGATATTGAAATTATTTACAGTTTCATCGCATTTTGTTTCGCGAATGAATAAATCGAGTGATAAATAGACAAATTTGCAGAAAAATTGATGACAAAGTTTCGGTAAAATTATATTATTTTTTTCAAAGAATAATATTAATTATTTTATATATATGTGTTGTTTAAAGTTCAATAATAAATACAATATTTATATACATGAATAAAATGGACTTATTTTTTAAAAATGAATGAAAAAATTATTGATTTAATAAAATCACAGCTAATTGTAAGATATATATTATTAAATATTTAAAATGGTTTGACCAGATTTTAAAAAAAGATTTGTGTGTATAATTTACATTGTTTTAGTATACTGTACTACCAAATAATTTTTTAACAAAGTTTATGCCATTTGACTATCTGTTCTCTGGGCTGTTGTCTCATTTGTTGCCACAAACCATTGCCGACAACAAACTGTCCGATATGTCTGTCTTTATGCGAACCATTGGTTTCAATAGAAACTGGTGTTTCCGGCGATGATGGAGACGATTGTGAACTCTCCTGTTTATAGGATAAGACAAACATAATTGCCGGCTGTTGGCTCTCTAGAGACATGAGGTCAAAGGTCATGATCTCATTGTCACTCCAAATCATCTTTTGTGTGAAACTTGTCTTTTTCTTTTTAATTAGTTTTCCATTAATGAATAACAATACCCTAATGTAATAGCCTATTGGAGAGACAAATCAAATCAAGAAATATATAATTTAATTAATTGTGTCTTTAGTTTTTATTGCTAAATTATTTTTACAAAGTATTGCTGAAGTATGGATCTGATGCGCGTGACTTAGGGTGGCCTTCATTACCGCAATTGTTAGACGTTTAGCAGTCGGCAGATAACATAACCCAACCAATATCTCCCCTTTTGACTGTAAAGAAAAAATTATACAAAAATATATGAATATAATTAAGTTAAAAATTTATATATACTGTATATATCAATATATTAATAATTATAACATAAATGTAGATGATATCAGTAGTAATACTAATTTAATTTATAATATACACAAAAAAAATTATTAAACATAATTATAATTTCTAATTAAATCGTATTTTATTTTTATCGTTTTTATACACAAAAAAAGCAATTACCGTAAAAACTAAATTAAAAATTATTTTTTTTATTAAATAAGAGACTATACAGTTATATTATATACAATATAAGGTATAGTACTATATAATATTACTTTATTTATGATTTATATTAAAATGTAACATTAATTAAGTAGAAATATATGAATGAATCATATTCTCGATAAATAATCTAATTTACATATCATTGCTAAGAAACTTAGATATAAGGTATATATACAGTATTATATGTATATATATGTATATTCTATAGAGAGAAATATATTCCGTATATTTATTTATAAATATAGTTTGACATCTAAATTACAAATCGATTTGTTTTAGTCCCTAATTCAATGTCTATGTCATAGACTTTAATCTATAGAGAATATAATATCAGAATATTCAGAGTACTCTCTCTCCTCTCGATTAGACATATAATAAAACGTATCCTTAGATAGAAATACTTTGATTTTCTATGTGGGCGTACTTTCAGTACTATATTAATTGATTTTTTTGTTGTAATTTTTTAATTTAATATTGTATTGTTAGTTGTATTATATATAAATTTACTTTAATTATGGATTGTTACGATTAATTAAACACTAGGTGAACATGTACATTTTTATTGTAAGTGATTTTTTTAATTATAATTTTTTTTCTTAAGAATTTCCAGTAAACAACATTATTGTACTGTAATTTAATTATAATGTACTCTATAGTACTTATTATGAATATCATAATTATAATTTCTATGTATTTCTTATGAAATGATAATATGTTTAATATTAAGTTTGTGTTTTGATAAAATTATTTTTATTTTTATCATTTTTTAAAAAAAAAACATAAATTATAATGACATATAATTTTTTTATTTTACATGTTTTAACAAATTTAAAAAATCTATTCTTCTATAATATTCTATATAATAATAAGTTATAAATAATATTCTGTTATATATGATATACTGTATATACAGTAATATAAATAAAATAATAAATTATAAAACACGACTTATATTAGAGTATATGTGAATAAATCTGCTCAATAATTAGTGATTTTTAGTTTTTAAAACACAATCTATTATTAAAAAATCAATTATTTTTTACATAAAATAATTTAATTAAAATACTATGTTTTGGTATTATACAATATATAAATTTATACAGTTTCTCATTAATAGAAAATAATAATAATAAAAGCAGAAAAAATTAAATAGTTAAAAAAAACCTCATAAAATTGCTACTTTTATTTATCAAATAAAAATAACTTTAAGAAATTAATACAATTTCTATATATTGTTATATTATTAAAATATTATATTATTAATACTGTATCTTAAATTTTTTAAAAAACAATTGTTATTAACACAAACCTCTTTACACGACAAAAGTGTCAGTTCACGAGTCATGTTGTTATCCAAAGGATTGGCCAAAAGTTGTTTCAATTGTAGACTCGTTTGACCCAAACAGACATCATTGGCATACCTTTCGTCGTCAAATATTTTTAATTTAATAATTCCGTTATTAAGTATACTTTTTGGTAAGTCTTGGCTAACAAATAGCTCATTAAATACTGGATTAAGACATCTCTTGGCCGAAGCCGTCCGATATAATACACTGGGAGTGGCTGTTAATTAAAAAAATGTTGCTTTAATTTAAGTTAAAAATATTAAAATAAATAGTTTATTATTTTAAAATATTTGTTTTTAATGAATATTTTTCAACGGACTGAGTCTATACCTCTATGAATAAGACTACGGCGTCTGGCTTTCAGACCGATCAAAATGATGGACACATAACAGGAAGGATCGGCTAAATACTCTCTCGGCTGGAGCTCACAGATCTCGATAATGTTGATAATAAGTCTTAGACTTGTAGTCGAAGTGATCTCATATCTGATCCCAAACTTAATGACTCCAGTCTTTTGTTTGATTGATTCCGATTCTGAACCAATCGATTGCTTTCTGATAGTAGTTTGATTCACAAAGAAATCGTGACTGACTTTAGTTATATGTTTGGCTACACTTTCCTGACTGTTGACCCCATAGTTCGGTACAATCGATAGCTGGAAGTGTTTCGACTCGTGTGTTAGCAATTGGTTTGGTATGTATTGCGATATCATATCATCATCTTTTTGTTTCTTCGAGTTGTTCTTAATGAGCCATTTGTTTAGCCAACACACGGGTGTCACCAAACAAATGGTGATTATAAGGCTTAGAAGAAATAGCGAAGAAGCGATTATCACAATAAACACTTTCTCGTCTTCGTTTAATTTAAACATTTTTTTGTTAATTTTAATTATTAAGTCTATTAGACTATAGTAGGCTTTATTAATGGATGTGAAAGCAATCAAATAATGCCGATTATAGGTCTATATATTATCGAAATAATTTATTTTTTGGATTAATTACTTAATTTCTTCTCTATATATATTAGTAATGACAGTCAAAATAAATCATGTGTTGTAGTTGTTGTTGAATGAGCTTTACTTTTGTTGTCACTAATGATTAAGAAAAGACTTATACAATATTTTTGATTTATTGATGTCTATTAACGTTAGTCATCACAATCATCACAATAATCCATAACTTACTGTAAATACATAAAAATATATAAATAGAAGAAAAATATTAACCAAATCAAAACCGGAAATTTTAACAATCAATTTTGTATTTAACATTATTTAATACTAATTTTTATAACTTAAATGCAGTGAATAAATATTTTATATTATTAAAAGTAATTAATTGTTTTTGGTCACTATTTAAAATATTTTTAGTTTTTGAAAAATAAAAAATTAAATTAATTGAATAATAATCACAAACTTAATAAATAGACTAAATGATTGACAGAAACAGTATTTTAAAATAAAATAATTTTTTTAATCTGTTTAATAATTGCAATCTCCATATTATATTATATTAAATTTCATATATGTATATATTATATAAAATGTTAATTATGAAATTAATTGACAGAAAATTTTTTGTTATTAAAAAATAGTAAATTTTTACGCAAAACATATGTATTTTAATCTGCATTTTATAAAACATACAAATAGGTTATATTTAGTAAAAAAAATTAGTGTCTGTTTAGTAAAATTTTTTCAAATTAACTTATTGTTAGACATAAAACATTATTTTTTATAAAAATAAAATTGGCATTTCAAAATGTTTATTATCAAAATTTCAAATTGTATGTTATACAATTTATATACAATTTATATACAGTAGTATGATTTTATATAATATAATGCCTTCAATAAAATTTTTATATAAATATTTGTTTAGTTTGTTATATAACTGTATTTTATAAACATCTAAATTATATTTTGTAAAAACATTTTTAAATGCAAACATGAATTTAAAAATTTGTTTACTTTTTAATAAAATAAAACAATTAAATAACAAAAATCATAATAATTTATAATATATAGTACGTTATATCATATGAATCATATAAAAGTTAAAGCAAATAATATTTAAATAAAATAATAACTTTATTAAGCATTATTAGTAACAATAATAATAATAATTATTATTATTAAAAGATTTAACCTATGTTATGTATAACTCTATGTCAATAATAAATTATAATAACAAATTAGTTATGTAAGCTTAATGTATAATAAGTTAGAAAAGTTATAAAATAATCTTCAAACTACTTAAGCAAATCTTATTAAATTATATATAAATAATAACATTAATTATATTATATAAAATTAATGTTAATCTAAATTACAATTTACTAACCATTAATCGCTTGTTGACTTCTTTCGGCAATTTTTAAAAAAAATTATTCTTAAAATTATTATTATGAGTTAACTAATAAGTTATATATATTTGTTATCAATGTGAATAAAATTTTTATTATATATTATTATAAATATTATTAATGTAAAAGTCATAGTATTTACGATAAAATTGATAGATAGTGTTCAACAAAAATAGACATTTTAGTTATATTAACTTTTTTTTATTAGTAAATTTCATTAACCATTTTGATTAATTTAATTGAAAGCTTGATTTGATTTTTTATATTATATATAAATTAAGTATATTATATATATACAAGTTTGTCATCACATAATTTATATGGTGTTTATACTGAAATATACAAGTATTATATGCTTTACGGTTAGATTGTAAGCTGTATTCAATAAACTGTAGGTAAGTGCTGAACACATTCATATCAGCGATCAATTGAAATGGACTGCATCTGCGTATATGTAATATTCATTTATTTATAGACTTACTGTAATAATGTATTGTTTCAAAATTCAAGTTATGAGAAAAGTTATGAAAATGTTATATATATAATCTTATATATATATATATATCCGATCCAATTGTTTTATAAGTTACATGAGAATTTTTCAATTAATTTATATATATATATATATATATAGATTTTATTTTATTTTTAAATTATACAATCAATTATCAATTTGGTTTAATTTAATTAAAAAAATTTATTCAATGTATGCAAAAGTAAACTATTATAATATGAATTAACACTTGAATTATATTATGAGTTAAATGGTATGAAAAATAATTTTAGTATTATTATTATAACTTTATATACATAATACTGTTGATTCAATTAAGATAAAATGCATAGATATATTATAATATAGATATAGTATAATTTATGAAAAATGATATAATTTGACAAATTTATAGGACATTTTCAAAATGTTTAAAATACAGTATGATTTTAAATTTTACTGTTTTATTATGAGCTCAAGGCTTTGGAAAAACAAAAACAGTATTCTGTAGTATAACTGAAAATAACTTTTAATTATGAATAACTAAAATAATATTTTTAGTTTAATTCAAAATTCTTGTCATATCCATAATGAATATCTATTTTAATTTATTTTATTTTTGTTGTTTGTTTTTCACTACTTGTTTACGTAACCATCCAGTTATACAACTGATGTATCATATGATAGGAGATATTGTAATATTAGTTATTTTTGAAGTTTGTCGTTAAATTGATAAGTAAGGACAGTTTGGTTGGACTAACCATTATAACATTGTCTACGAGACAGTGTCGCCAATTTATTTAATGGGAAATCCTGTTTAAACCAATAGCTGATTGCTAATAAACAAATCTGATTAACCCATAGGTCAAGGCTGTATTTTTCATACATAAGCTTTTTATAAATATAAAAGTTATTGAGAAAAATATTTTTCAATTCAATCTACTTTTTGAAAAATATTTTTATGAATTAGGAAACATATTATAGGATATTTTTATACAGTATTATAGATACAGTAGTCTCTAAACATATAATCAATAATAACTTTGATTTAACGGCAAATTTTTTATTAGTGCAAAAATTAGTGCAAATATTCTCTACGAAATGGTTACCGAAGTGGAAGATTTGGTAAGTTTTTTCTCGGATTATGTTTTTTCTTATATTTGTTGATGTGTTTGACCCATATTTTGTTGGTGATCATCATATCTGAAGATAACCACATATATAACTAAATGATTAATATTGTAAATGCATGTCATTTCAGTACTTTATACGGTATATACCGTAGAAAATTATATATCAATAATGCATTAATATTCATAATCAATATCATTCTTGCAAACAGTTAATAAATTTCACTATACGATAGCAACAGTTAATTAATTTAATATTATAACTTGACGTTATAATTAATATTTTATTATAATTGTCAAATTATTATAATCTATTTGGTAATATTAAGTTAATTTTATATTAAATTTTAAAATTTAAAATTAATTTATTTTTATATAATATACAGTATGTACAGTATTATATAATACGGTATAATATTATATAATAATGTATAATATTATATAATACGGTGTAATATTATATAACTAAATATTATTTTTATTGTTGTATAGTATAGCTTAAATAAATTAATTTGTTTAACATAAAACAATAATTATTTCTATTAGATACTGTATTTCTTATGTTAATCATATAAGTAATCATAAAGTATTATCAATCAATGAAATGCTAAATAAGTAAATTATAAAAATTGTACAAATATTTATAAAATTAATATTTTTATTTATTATTATTGAAAATTATGTTATCTATGAAATATTGGTATTTATTGAGTTATAAAAAACTAATATATAATTTATATAATATAAATGAAAATAACAAACTAGTTTGACATTTTCAGTTTTTTAAAAAATAAAATTTAAATAATAAATAATTTATTTTAGTTATCTAACTAACTAATATTAATAAACGATTTCAACAAAAATAAACAAAAATTAATTATGTGATAAAACGATAATATACTATACTGTATACAATGTACAGTAAAATCATTTAAATGTATAATTTAATTATTTATTAATACAACTACTAGACTACCATTACTGCTGATAATGTCACGACAACTGAAGTCAAAAATAAAAGACCGGAAAGAAAAAGTGGGAATTATATTATGGATGTCATCAATAAGTCAAATACAGTTCATATAGTGTTTTCAATGAAAGAAGAAGTGGGTGCACTGGCAGATGCTCTTCAGATATTTAAGGTATTTAAGATACAAACAAACTAAATACTAATTAATAAATTAATTAATAAAATATTTTATTTTTCATCAATTATTAACAATTATTGTGTATGTGTTTAGGATAACGGTGTAAATCTGTACCGAATTGAGTCCCGTTCCTCAAAACGATTTAAAGATGACTACGAATTTTTAGTGGAGTGTTGTGGTGGCAATAGTCTTAACAGTGCATTGGATCAAATTAAACCATTGGCACACTATTTGCAGGTCATATCGCGTGACCAAACTTTAACCGATTCAACTGTTCCCTGGTTTCCCAATCGTATCAGAGATTTAGACCGATTTGCTAATCACATACTATCGTATGGATCGGAATTAGATGCCGACCATCCCGTATGTTATATATTGTACTATAACTATATTATATTATTTTGTAAACTTTACAAAATATAAAAAATAATAATTTGTATAATATTTCAATACATAGTATATATTACATAACAATTTAATTCTAAATATTTACAAAAATTATTTTAAAGGGATTTAAAGATGAAAAATATAGGGTTCGGCGTAAATATTTTGCAGATCTGGCCTATAATTACAAACAGTAATTACATTTTATATTTGTTTTGTTGTTGTTTGAATATTATACTAAATCTCAATAATTAATTAAATAATTCTAGTGGTCAGCGCCTCCCACACATTGACTATACTGATGAAGAAACTGCTACCTGGGCTATAGTATTCAGTAATTTGACAAAACTCTATGAGACACACGCCTGTCGTGAACACAATCATATTTTTCCGCTAATGATTGCAAACTGTGGTTATAGAGAGGATAATATACCTCAACTGGAAGACGTGTCCAACTTTTTAAAAGGTATTTCCAAATAATTACTTAAAAAATATTACTAAAATCTATGTAAACTAAAATTAAAAATCCAATGAATCAAATGGTATCATAAGATTGTACCGGTTTTATACTGAGACCAGTGGCCGGTCTATTGAGTTCTCGTGACTTTTTGGCCGGACTTGCCTTTCGAGTGTTTCATACGACTCAATATATACGACACCCGTCGATGCCGTTGTACACACCAGAGCCGGACATTTGTCACGAGTTGTTAGGTCACGCACCACTTTTTGCAGATCCAAGTTTTGCCAATTTTTCACAAGAGATTGGTTTGGCCTCATTGGGTGCGCCCGATGACTACATTGAAAAGTTGGCCACTTGTTATTGGTTTACCGTTGAGTATGGTCTGTGCAAACAAAACGGACAAATTAAGGCTTACGGCGCTGGACTTCTATCCGGTTATGGTGAACTAGAAGTCGGTTTAAATATATATATATATATATATGTTTATTATAACTTTTATCAAATTATTTACTTATTTATCAAATTTAGTATTGTTTAAGTGGTAAACCAGATATCAGGCCATTTGATCCATACGTGACGTGCAATCAAAAGTATCCCATCACTCAATACCAACCCATCTATTTCCTATCCGAGAGCTTTGAAGACGCCCAACAAAAGTTAAGGTTTTATATATATATCTTATGATTCATTATAATTATATTTTTTAAATCTCTGAAAAATAGAGTTATTATACAATTGAAAGTTACATTTTATTTGCAATCTAATCTTAGATTAGTAATCTATACAATAATATGTAAATTACGAATAAAAAAAATATTTGTAAAATTACAGGGACTTTGCACAATCAATTCCCCGATCGTTTACAGTGCGATACAATCCATATACTCAAGGTCTTGAAATAATCAACTCTAATGTTCAATTGGAAACTATGGCTCGCAATATACAAAGTAATATTATTAACACTATTGCTAATAAATATTTTATAATTATTTTATAATTATTATCAATTTTTACAATTAATTTAATAATAATAATAATAATATTTTAGGTGAAGTACAGCTTCTGGTGGATGCTATGAAAAAAATTCATTAAACACTATATAAAGAAAAAAACTAATAACAGTATTATATAATAACTTGAGTAACATATAATTAAAGTAATACAATATAACTTTTTTACTTTTATATACAATATATATTTTTTAAATATTTAATTTATCTTCTTTTCAAACAATAAATATATTATTTTCTTTTTTATTATAATAAAAAAAATTAAATTACATCATAATATTTCAGTAATCAATCTAGTAAATTTAATAATGTTTAATATACAAATTTAAATCTACAATTTAAAAAATTAGTTATAATAATAAAAAAATATTATTATTATAACTATCAATAACATATATTTATATATAAATTTCAATATATATATATATAAATATTACTGTATTTACAGATTAATATTATCCAATCAATATTAATAACAATGAAAAACAATTTATTTGAGGTCACATCCAGGCGCCCACATCCCGGGCCGCTTCGGTAATCTCTCGGTGCACTAAAGCACTCAAATTATTATTATCTGAAACGGGAGAACTTTTGAGGTCATCGCTAAGGTTTTTCGGTTCGTTTCCCGAATAGAGTCCACAATTTCCGTGACCTTTAAGTATGAAATTCTTCATATAAGTCTTTGGCAGTGGAAATGATTTGAACGAACTATCAATACTATCGATGCTTTGAAATTTCTTTTTGTTTTGCTTTAGAGTAGTATTACCGGAGAAGAAGTATGACTGTAGCGATGATTTGATGTTTTTCTTCTTGTTTCGGGTCAATGAAAGCGTACCATTACTTTGACTTAAGTCTTCTTTGACTGATTTGGAAAGTGGTTTCAATGGTGTTTTGTATAAGTAATCTGAAGTTTTTGATGAATCCAATGCCGATTGATATAAATCAATACTATTTAAAGGATCAGATCTATTGTTATCAACCCTATTGTTGTTAACATTGTTGATGTGATTCATAGATCGGGACAAAGGTTTTGGATAGTTTTGATCATTAAATTTATTATTCACTCCTCCATTGGTCTGACAATAGTTCCAATTGTGGACAAACTCGGAGTTTTCTCTGTCCATTCCTATCGTTGATTCACTGCATTTAGGGGTGTATTTGTCGGAACTATACTTTGGTAGGACGTCCACAATCAATGGTTTTCCAGTGATGTCTTCTCTACTTTTATCTTCGCGACTCAAATTTCGTTGTCTTTGTTTCCATCGACTATCGCCATCTCTTCGTTCACTTTTATAAGGTTTCTGATATCTGAACGTATAATTATCATCAATCAAACTCTTGTTATTGCTCTTAAAGTCAGACGACGACTGTTGTTCCCTTTCAGCGTATTCCTCAAAGTCTTTCGGTGGAAGTATTGCCGGCACATAAATAAACTCTTCTTCATTCTTCATATTTTGGTCGCAATCGTAACTATTTTTGTTTAACTCGTTTTGAATGAATTTTTGTTTTTGTTTCGACTTATTTGCTTCAATATCACAATCACTCCATTGACCCGAATCGCCGGTTCCGTTATCACTACCCGTTGTCCGCTGCGGTGGAAGACTTCTGGATTCGGTCGGCATTAATATATTGAACTTATTCTTCAAGTGATCCACTTCTTGCTCTAAGTCTTCGCATTTTTCTTTAAGCTATAAGTAATTATATATATTTAAAAAATTGATTAACAATAATTAAAACACAAACTAAAAAAAATTATTGTCACTACAAATAACATAACATAACAAACCTGTCTTTCAATGGTAAGTAGACTTATTTTATCGGCTTCAAGTTTCTGTTATTTAATTAAATACATTACAATATATATCAATTATATAATTTATATCTTATAACAGTATAACCCGGTATATCAATAACATTATATAAGATTTGTAACATTATATAAAATAAAATAATTAATTGCAATAATAATAATATTATTATTATTATATAATATAATATATTGATGAGTGAATAAAAACGTGACTCACATGAAGAGCTTTCTGTAGGATTACCACTTCTTCCTTGAGTTCATTGCGATCGTCGTATGAATTATTTCTGCTGTTTTTGTTATTAATATCAATGTATTGATTACTGAATATATCGATCTCTTTCCAAATTAAATCACTTTTTTGGATATTCTGTTGACTTAATGTCTATCGACAATGAAAACAGTGTTTCAAAAATTGATTTTTAAGAAAAGTTATCAAAAATATGTTGTTCTCTAAAAAAATTAAATACTTTTTTTAAATATTGAATGTCGAGTCCGGCTTCTTGTAGTTCGCATTGAAGTCTTACTCTTTCGGCAAAATTAGATGTTTTGCTAAGCAATGCATTGATCAGCTGAAGAGCATAGCATTCAATACCATTAGCTGAGTATTCGTGGCACGAGTTGATCATCGACACCAAGAACTTGAAGCGAACTGATTCGCCAAATATAATCCGCATTGTGGCCAACGCTTCCAGTACTTTGTTGGCGCCAAATGGTTGATCACAAACTTTGGTCAATAGCTATCAAAACAAAACAAAAATCCAATAAAACAATATTAGTGTAAATATGAATTCCACCACAAAATGCGTGCCACTAATCAATCAAATGGTTAATCAAATTTCATGACTTATTATAAATATTATTACCTGAAGTGCAATGAGTCGTGATTTAATCAAATTGCTTACAATACAAGAAGTAATGGTTGACAGACCAGTCTTATGCGATACCATCTTATCTAACGCTTTCTGCAAATAAAATATTAATCCAATGATTGATTGTCTACTAATCTAATGATGGTTTTAAATACAAATTATGATATTTATAGAAAAAAAAATATTTTTTATTCAAAAACTTACAGTATTTCGCTTGACTGCAGTGGTAAGGCTTACGAGACTATCGTATTCATTATTCTGTATAATATATATATAAATATACAAAATATTTATTAAATATAAATAGTAATCATAATTTAAAAAATAAATATATATATATATTATTTACATATTAGTTATACTATAATATATTAGTATTATACAGTTATAATATTTGTATTTGCATTTCAAAAAATATATATATAACAATCAATCAGATTATATCAATACCACAGTATATTGTATATGTAAAGCTGTAATGCAATAAACAAAATGATAATCTTAAGGATGAAAGAAAAAAATAATTACAAAATTATAACATTAATATTAATGTTATGAATCATTATATTTAAATTAGCAGAAAAGCAAAACATAGACATACAAAAAAAATGTTTCAATCATTTATTTATTTTATATATTGTTAAATATGTAGAAAATCCTAATGTTATATAAATGAGATAACAAATTATCGTTTCAGTAAAAATATTTTCTTTTATACACTAAAACAATTGTATGCCATATATAAGTTTATTTCTAATTTCTATATATATATATATATATATATGCTGAGTGATAATAAAGTGATTTTTAAATAGATTTGCAAAAAAATAAAATATAACATATATTATAGAAAAAAATTGCTATATATCTTATGATTATTATTATTTTAATACACAAATACCATATTAACACCATTGATGACTCGGTTAACCTTTTTTATGGCCTCTTTTTTCGTATCCTCTCCTCTAACCTGTTATTATTTAATTAGAGTCATTGATTTATTTTAATTAATGGCATCAATTGAAGAAATATATAACATTTTTTTATATCGTTGTTGCTATCGATTTGTGAATAAATTTTTTCTTTATTGAAAAATTAATTTCAATAACAACCAAACAAAGTAAGGCCTTCAATAATAATCAAATGGATAAATCAAATGACTCTATTAGTTCATACTTTTATTTTATTTTATTTAATGATTTATTAATTCATTCATTCATTCAATGGTGTTATTTAATCACTTGTTTTATTTTAATAAAAAAAAGTCTTACTTAATAATAATTTATATATATATATAAATTTTAATCAATAGACTCTATAAAATCTTTTGGATTGCTCTTAATGTTTTTTTTCATTATTATTTCAATGAAATTAACTAATAATAGACCCATAAAAAATGCATTAAAACATCAATCAAGTGGTTTGCGATATAAAAAAATCAAGTTTTGTATCAGCATTCAAATCAATTGGTAATAGAAATGTAGTGTGAAAAAGGAGGGGACACCAAAATAGACATACCAGTGCTCTTTTAAGTAAAAGGTGACGCTCTTTGTTTGGCAAACATTTTTGTCGGGTGTTGTTTAGTATATCAGTGCCATTGGTCGGTACAGTGCTTCCGGGCGACTGTTGGCGGCTGAGCGACAAACGAAGCAAATTAAGCACACAATGTATACCATCGCTGTCGACAAAGTCGGACACAAAACTATTTTTTTTCGAGATATAGATTGTCAGCCAAATTAGACATTTATATTAGGATTTTTTTTAATTTTATTTTTTAAGCATAAAATTGTTTTTTAAAAAAAACTCACGAATCTGATGATGTCTGCAAATCGTCGACCAGTTTTTTAAGTATTTCACACAATTTCGGTAACTCCGTGTCATATCCAGGCAATGATGAGTGCCTGAGCTGATCAAAGCATTCAAGTTTCTCTCTCTCCACGTGAAGCTCCATATAAAACACATAATCCAGTGCTGAAAGAAACGGTTGTTTTCTGGTCATCTGATTTGGCAAATATCGACAATTTAGTTGAATTTATTTATATTATAAATTAGTTTTTAATTGATTTACTCTTAAGATATTCATGAGGTCCACCAAGTTTTTAGATTTTAACGATTTAATTTAATATTAAAAATTCATTTAATATGCTTAAACATTTAAGCAATCACTTAAAAAATCTGAAAAAATAAATTTTACATAAATTTAGTATAAATACATAAAATTTTTATTTGAATTTTATATTTAGATAATTTATATCATACAGTATATTGTAATACCTGTAGTAATCTATATAATAGTTTTTTTTGCAATTATTTACTATAAAATTCAAATATTAACATTAATAAGTTTTATCTTATATAACTTTTAAGCTATATTGAAATTACAATCTAAAAAAACTATACATACTATAATATATACAATATATATACCATACATAACTATATATGT